GTCGAGAACCTTTTATATAGCATTTTATGCTGATTTCATTCTGCACCGTTGCTTTAATCTTTTTAATTGTTCTATCATTTATTTTTGTGAAATTTATGTAAGCCACCTTGTTGGAAATATATGTGCAGAGAAAGGGGAAATGCGAGGGGGAAAGAGAGAAAATTCAGTGTGTACATTTTTCGAATTAATAAATAAATGGCTTATGCTTTATTTATGCTGAAGTGCATCAGCAATTTTCAAAATATATTTCATGAAAGGACTGCAACAAAAGGCATGCATGCACATGCACACAAATCCTTTTTGGAGATTTATGAGATACTTCTTTCTGATTGTATATAGGAATTTATGCACAGAGAGAGAGAGAGCGAGAGAGAGAGAGAGTTCTGATACATCTTTCGGTGTGGGGGAACCTTCTCTATAATTTATTGAACTACCTTAAAGAATTAAAATACCCAGTTGCCCAATGCTCAGACTGTATTTGAATGAAGCAGAGTAATAAATGCAATGAATCTGAAATACTAATTTGTCTTCTAGCATTTAACACATTGATTTGCATTAATTAGCCGAGGGGAAGGTTGTTTGGCATTTGCTAGAGACCTTCAGACCTTACTAATCTTTTAAGAGGTGCTGTAGGGTAGGGACTCCATAACTTAATTCTTGCCCGTGATCTTGCTCCCCTGCACCCCGACATTTTTAACAGATATTTTCAGGAAGTTATGGTCCAATCCAGTCCAGGTGTCCACCGCTCTCCCGGGATTACAAGCATGCTGTGAAAGGCAGGAGTGCAGGAGCAAAGATCAAATGCTTTGCAATACATTTAGGTGGCCAATTTCCTCCGTCTAAATGCAGTGCCTTGGACCACAGCGGAAGTGGCTGAGATGCACCAGGATACTCCACTCTCTTCCCCTCACAGTCCCCTCTCAACGTGCCCCCAGATTCTTTTCTCTGAGGTTGTTTTGCAACCTCAGGGGAGCAGCCGATGGAAGTGAGAGCAGAGGTGCTTTGAGCTTGCAGTCCCAGCTGCAACTTAGAGGTGAATTTCTGGTGCACGACCAGAGGACTCTGAATAATCCAATACCCATCTTGATGTTTAGCAGCCAACAGACTGCACTGTTAGTAATTTGGTAACTGCCTGGAGAATCATTAACTCTTCATGAAATTACTCCAGGGTTCATTCCCCATCTTTCAGCATAGGAGGGGTTTTGAGGATAAATGCTGGATGTTCATGTTATTCTCCCTCTTGGATCTACACCTTTAGATGGGGAGGTGGTTTGAAAGTCTCCAAAATGCTAAGAGCAACACCAGAATGTCAGGAGACCAGAATCAACTCACACAGGCTGGTCTCTTCAGGGTCAACCAAGGCAGAATGGTGAAAGCAGAGACATCAGATCCATCTACCATCTTCAAAAGAAACCGTCACATCAGCAGAAGAGAACAGATATTTCTGATGGTGATGGGGTGAAGAAACTTCAGAAGGGCAGCACAGGTAGCTGGCAGACAATGACGGTGGTGTCCAAATGAACTCTGGTTACTACTGAATACAAGCTGGCAATGCAAAAACCATTTCCCAAGCTCCTTACCTTGAGAACCTTATGATGAAACAGTCCCAAGGGAAACAAGAGACAGTGCCAGAAGATGAGACACCCCCCCACCACCACCCAAGGCTGGAAGGCTGCCAGGGAAGAGCAGAGGACAACAAGGAATAGGGCTGTTGCTAATCACGCAACAGGATGAAAGCTGGGAGGGAGGCTAGTGGCCGATGTACACAGAGGTGAAAGGGAAATCCAGTGCTGCACAATGCACACATTTGGAGCATGGAACAGAAGTATTAACCAGAGCAAACAGGAAACTGTAAAGCAAGAAATGAGATGATGAAACAGTGCACCACCTGGTGTGTGTGAACTAAAACGGACTGGAAAGGAACATTTCCAGTCAGACAAACAAGAAGTGTTTTAGCTCAGAACTATTTTATTCAGAAGACATGGAGAGACTTTCACACTGATGCAAAATGTAGCACAGGCAGCAAGACGCTATAATGCAAAATCCAACCAATAATACTAATCAGAATTAGTAGAAAACCTATCAACATAACCGTCATTCAAGTCATTCGGCAACAGATGCTGAAGAAACAGAAAAGTTTTTATGTAGATGTTCATGAAGGAATCGATAAAATGAGAACAAGACATGCTGATAATCCTAGGCGGCTGAAAAACAAAAGCAGAATCAAATGTTGTGGGAAAATTTGGCCTGGGGGCAAGAAACGAAGCAGGAGAATGACTGATAGAGTTTAGTGAAGCCAACAATCTGTTCATCGCAAACGCATACTTCAAGCAACCAGAAAGACAAGTATATGCGTGGACATCACCAAATGGCTGATACAGAAATCAAGTAGACTAGGTAATTGGAAGCAGGGACTGGGGAAGCTGTACTCTCGCTGCCGAAGAAAGGCACAGACTGCTCCAGTGGCCATGAAATGCTTAACATCAAAAATCAGAGTCAAGCTGCAAAGACTGCTAACAGCAACGCAGTGCCAAAATACAACTTCAAAAACATTCCTGAGGAATTTAAAATCCACATGAAGAACTGATTTGCATTACTCAGTTTAATTGACCACGAAGCAGAAGAACTGTGGACTGAAACCAGAGACAGCATTAGGGAAGAATGCCAAAAGACAATTCCTGAGCAAAAAGAAAGGAAAATGGATGACAGAAGAAAAAGATATTCACACTTGTAGAGGACAGGCAAAAATCAAAAGGGAAAGGTGAGTGAAATAGGGTCAGACTCCTGAATGCAACCTTTCCGCAACTATCACATAGAGACAAAAAAAAAAGTGAAGCCCTATTACAGTGACCTTTGCAAAGAAGCAGAAGAGATCTGCAAGAGGGAAAGCAAGAGACTTCTTCCAGAAGATCCAAGAAATCAAGGGGAAGCTCAAACTTCAATTAGGGATGCTGAAAGATAAACAAGGGATGACAATATCTGAGCAGAAGAAAATAAAGGGAAGGTAGAAACAATATGCAGAAGAATTATACAAAAGAGTTGAAGGGATAACAAACACCTTTGAAAAGGAATTCCGTGAGGAAGAGCTGCAACATTAGAAAGTGCAGTGAATGCTCCGGATTGTTTAACAACAACAAGAGGATGACAAAGATGCCTCCCCTGCTCCCTCCACCACTCCCAAAATAGGCAGCTGAAGAGGGAGTGCAATATTTGCAATAATGATGTGGGTCTGCTTATTCAGGCATCAAAAGCTGATTTTTAAGTCAAGCAAATGCTTAGATGTTCTCTGCTCCTGGATTTTTAAGATGTCTGTCCCCAGATGGCTATTTTGTACCTGTGTTCCATTATTAAACCAACCAACCAACCAACCAAACAAACCTCACCAAACAAACCCATCCATGTCCTGGTAACTTTCCCAGCGCTAGAAATACTGGGCAGGGTTTGTATTAAATTGGGTTATGACGCCATCTTCTGACCAAAGAAAGGAATACCAAAAATACAAAATGAGCAAAAATAGAGCACTGTAGTTTTTCAATAGGTCAGTAGTAGTTAGTTTGGTTTAGGAGCTACCCAGTTTTGATCCCTGCAAGTTTCAGTCTCTGATCACACAATTTCCCAAAAGACATAGTGACATTTTTCATAGTAGTCTTAAATGTGATCCTCTGTATATTTAGTCAGAAATACGTAAGAAAATAAAAACCATGACTACGGAAGAATTGCACAATCAAATGCGTGGAAGATTTTGTGTAGCTTGGCTCAGTCATCAATCCGAAGGAATCCGTAGCCAAGAAATTCCAAGATGACTGAGACTTGGGAGGGCAGCAAGGAAGGAAGGAAGGTCAGGTTGTTCACCTGGAACCATCCTTCTTCAAGTGGTCATCTTTGTGTCCCAGGTTACTCGGGAAAGTTTCCTGCCAGTTCCCCACTTCCATTGAGACATCCACAGGTCCCTAGACTGAGGGCAGAGAGCTGTGCCACCCCAGTTTGGCCCGTGTGCCCTTGGCAAGCAAGGGGGGCAACAGTCAGAAGGATGACACCAAGTGGAACCACAGTGGCGGGTTGTGTGAACGCACAGATGACTATGCCAAGGATGACAGTCACAGGTAAGCAGCCTGATCTTCTTCTGTTTGGTCTCTGCATCACACATACGGGCAACTGGAAAGCTTGCCTCAAGGTCAGAGGGCTGGTGTCATCATTGGAGAACCGAGAAAAGGACAGCTCTGCTGAAGAAGCAGTCTGCCCTTGCACGGATGCTGAACGCATGTATTTCAAGTTTTTTCCAACCAGGTGCTCTCCGCATGTTTCTCTCACCCTGCCCATCAAATAAATACACCAGCTGAATAGCAACTGGAGGCTCCAGTCTGGGGAAGGCTACTCCAATCACCTCTAGGTCAGACTACCATAATGCACAGTGAGGATGGCAGTCACTGTAGTAGGTAAAGCTTCAGTGCTGACAGATCTTTAAGAAGTCTTTAAAAGCCATTTTATTCCACAGTGTATTTTGTCCAACTAATGAAACATTTTTTTCAAATTAATGCAACAATTAAGTACATTCCTATTTAAGAACGTTACTTTCATAAACTAACATGGCTTATAGCTGAAATTTGTGCAGTGTTTTTGTGTTTTATGTTGTTATTATTGTGAACTGCCTTGGTAAAGTCTATGTTCAAAAAGTTCAAAAAGATTATAAATACTGTTATAAATAAATGTAAACAATTAAAGCACATTTTGCTTTGGAATGCTTCAGAACTACAAAGGATCAAAGTTTTGCCACTTCAAGAGCCTTACGATACTACTTTTTTATTCTAGTACCCATTACCTTTTAATTTATAGATGCTCCTCGCAGACTTGCAACAAAATATGCATGCACAGATGTGTGCGCATATGTGCACACGCACTTCTGTGTGTCTTTGTCGTATGTCATGACTCAAAGAGAAAAAGCACACACTATTTTAACAGCATGGATGCAAAGAACAACATATGCAATGCAATACGGAATAGACCCTTACGAAAATGTAGTACAATGCAAACTTTAATGTCAATATATACAGAGCCTTAAAGAAAATATTTTTAAAAAGAAAAAAAGAAAACCTGAATGGAATAAATACAGTATAATACAAATCCACAATGTTCTGGGAAATGACTGTTATTATATTGACAACAGGGTTGTGAATGAGATGTATGATTTTAAATCTTGAGGAAGTGTTGTAACCCAAAGAGCATGTAGTTAGAAATTGCACAATTGGGTTTTCCTGCAATGTTTTTGATGTTCACAGCCAGTTACATGCCAGAACAGTTTTGACAATGGAAACTAGCCAATGATCTGTTTCAATCATACAGTATCTCAGCTTGATAGATACAAACCTTATGCATGTACACCTGACCTCTTACCTACTTGGCATGCCACAATTGAAGATTTCCTAGGTTAATTAACCACACTATGCTGTTACATTCAGATAGGGAGATTACAGTTTCAAGGATTAGAACAAACAAATAAGAAACTTATTTTAAAAACTTACAACTTCTAGCTTTCCCAATTTGGATACAACAGAAAATTATGGTCATCTCTGATCACAATACGCTGAGAAGGAACGGGAAAGATCATGACACATAAGAACACAAAGCTGAGACATGTCTTGGCTGTGTATCTTGTCAAGACCTGGGCATTCAGTGCAAGAGTGCCAAAGTGCTTGGAAAGTCAGAAGAATGCAGCATAAGCAAATGACAATTGCAAAATGACCAGCAAAACAAAACAAATCACCCCAAACCATCACATGAACATTTCCATCTGGAAAGATGATACTGCTTTTGCTTGTTTCTTCAGCAACCTAAGCAAACGTATTTTTCCAGCTTAAATCTTTCTGAAAGGCTTTCCAATATCAGCTGGGAAAGGGGCATGACTTATTAATGGAGCTGCCTGTTTAGAATTTAAAATTGCATTTACTTACACCTTCCCAAAGGGAAAATGGCTTTTAAATACAGTTTAATAAGATTTTATTACTAAACTATTCATTTCAGCTACTCAGTATCTCTAATTCCACCTTATTCTAATTAACATAAATAGCTAGCTTTATCCGTACCTCCTAAACAATACTGCAGCGTTAGAACAACTGTTCCTCAATCCATAGAGGTGATATGGGTCCAACAACTACTGGGAACTTTTCCTGTATAAGCTTCAGTGAAATAATGAGAAACTGTGGAAGGACTCAAACATATTCACAACTACCATTCATTTCAGAGGGACTTATGGAGGACATACTTTTCTATAACATCACAAAACCATAGCCAGACCTTAGTCACTTTTCTTAGTGCCTAAAACAGAAAGGGAACATACATCCAAGCCCAGGATGAGTAGATCTGTACAGGTAATGACCATTGTTTTCCACTAACAGGACTATTGTAATTACAGGTAACATTGCTTTGCCTAAAATAGTACCTCCTGGATGGTTAACTAAAACTAAGTAATCCCTGTTTTTAAGAGCAAGTTTCAAAGAAAGAATTTAAAAGATGTACAGGCACGGTGCCCATTTCTGAGAAGGGCGGATTCAAAAAATGTGGAGACATGAAAACTAGACTGTTTCAGTACCGTTTGGCTCATTCAAGCCATTTCAGAACCATTCAGGAGTGATTTCCCTTCCTATGATCCATTCTGAGGATGTGAGTGTGCCTCCTCTCTTTGCCAATCTAATCCACCTGTCCATCCACTCACAAAAGCCACACGTTGGGTGCCCTAAGGCAGGGGTGGCCAGAAAGAAATGCCTGAATGTTGTGGACATTAGCCCCAATCATTCCTGAGCCATGACCATGTCGGTAGGTGCGTGGATTGCAAAATACCTGGAGCTCTAACACCCTTCCCTGACCCACAGCTATTCTTGAAGACTTTTTTTGTCACTACTACGCTTATATGAAAACAAACTTTGCACATAGGTAATGGATACTCTGAAGTGTACAATTATTTAATATTCAGGGATGGCTGGACACACACACACACACGTGTAAAGCACCCGTACAAGAAATGGTTTGGTCCCAAAGAAATATTCTGATTAAATAGGCAACATATGCAGGCTTACATAGGGCCCTACATTTTCTGCAAGGTATTTAATTAAATGTTATAGCTGCCCAGTTGCATACTTAAGATAAGGGATTTCCCCTACCTGAACAAGACCTAAAACTTTTTTAATAAATCAAAGAGGCAATTTGCTAGTGGGAGTTGCAGCCACACTATCCAGTTTCAGAGCGAGCTTTTAGAGAAACGCTCACTTGAGGACAGCTTGCTAGAGAAGTTGCCATGAATACACCTTCACTCTTGAAATGCAGTTTTCTAAGACAGATGACAAGAAATGTGGCCCAGTGGCTTGAGAGAGGGACAGAACAGTAAGGCAAGCATTTTCAACAGCATCCCTAATTCCTGACAGGTATCTGAGCAAAACAAACCTCAAAAGTATCCCAAATGGTACGCTACTAAGGAACTGTGCAGAGTCATCACAATCATTCAAGTCATTTTTTCCCCCAAGTGACTCAATTAAAGCTGAGCATGCACAAAAACACACCCCAAAGGAGGACATTTCTTGCATCTGAGCAACATGCAGATTTGCTTTACAGGTCCACTTATGCAACCGGAGTCCAAGCCTGGCATCCTGTTCTCAGCAATGTTTTGAGTGCTCCATCCTCCCCCTTTAACAATGGGTGTGCCCGTTAAGCATTAGTCATGATTCCATGTGAAGAGACTCAAGAAATCATCTTTCTAGAGAAGCAACACTTAAGAAAAACAAGTATACAAGTGGAAACAACAAGACCAAAACCTAGAAATGGGCTTGGAGGAAAACGACGAATCCCCTTAGCTTCCCCAACTAAGCTCACAGGCATACAATGATCACCTGACTGGAATAGTTAACCCATACAATTCTTTAACCAATTTCCTCCAATGAGAGCAAGTTTGGACTAGTCATTGGCCCTGGGAGTGCACAAGGCCACTTCTGAACTTGTGACGAGGAGCTGATGTTTGAAGTGACCTCAGCATAAAGTGGCTGTACATACAGCTGTTGCAATTTCCACGAGGATGGGAATGCTATGCTTAATCATGATGACACCCACACATCCAACTCTTCACATGGCATCGCTCTCTGATACTTCAAGGAAATTGTGTATGTCAATGCCTCGTGTGAACTGGTTCTTATTTGTAGCAAAATGCACACTGAAGGATAAAATGGTGACCCAAGAGTACTTTAACCGTGAAAAGTATGGAATGATCAAAATTATGGGCTCAGATTTATTAATGTATGACAATCAAAGAAGATCATCTGCATGTTAAAGGTCTGAATAAGGCACTTCACACTTTAGGCATAAGAATGAAAGAAGGTTCACAGTTTTATTCAAATCAGATCACCATCTATGCAGCATTAAACCCTGTTCTGTAAAGGAGGTCCAGATGTGTACCAATCTAGATACGTACAAAGAAGCACGTACGCCATTATTTAGGACAGTGAGAATACAGGCCAACAAGGCCCGTCTAGATGGATGGCCCGATTGCCAATCCTAGTTGTTTCCAGCTTCCATTAACATGATTCTCTATGGCTCGAAAGAGGGGTTGTCATGCCATGACAATTTGTTGCAACAATCACAGAAGAATGAAGTGTGGCAGAAGCATGTGCTGAATGAAGACTATCCTACCTGGTGCAGTGCTCTGCTAAATTTACTGTTGAGGTGGCAAAGTGTCAAAATGGCATTATCTAGCTTTCCTGCGCATAGAAGGGCACTCTGGGCTTTCCACATTAGGGTTTTAACCTACCACTTTATTGATGCTTCCACTTCCAGATTCTTTCCGGGATTTATTGCCTCCTGTACACATTCCACACCCAGTTTTCCTTTCTCCACTTGCCTTTCTGTATGTTCCATTCCTCATTTATTAGAAATGGCTGAATTATGTGAATACTTTCAGGGGCTTCTGCTGCCATTGCCAGTGTTTCCTCATTAGAAAAACAAGCACGATTTTGGAGCATGGGAGAGGTCCTGCAAGATGATATAACGTGAAACACCCACAAACTACTGTGAGGGAGGACTCAGGAGCACACTAGAAATGCCTTGTGTAACTTTTCCTGTTCCACTATATTCTTCTACCCCAAAGCAGAATGATCAGAGCAATATGAAGAGCACCGAAGTCCAAAGATGCACCCATTTATAATCACAGACTCAACTGGCACTTACTGCAATTCACTACCTTTGCTTTGGAAAAGCAAGCTGCTATTTAACAATGTGACTTTCACATTGCTTTCAGATAGCTCATAACACTAGCAGGATTCTGCCCACCTGTTCTCTGGAGCCAACACCAGAGTCTTGCACTGAAATAATCAATGCAATCCGCCATTGCCATCTGAGCGGCTACAGCATATCACGCTGTCGTTTTCATGGCATCATGTACAAATTGATGATGATGTACAAATCATCAATCAATCAATATGGGCCAATATTCAAAGGGGAATTCGATATTCAACATTGCATATTCAAATATTCTACTGCTAGCATAAATTATATTCTAGTATACCAGGAATATAGGAGTTGCAGTACAGGAGTTTAGACCTGCACATCATAATTTATGTTAGTGGGTTGCATAGGATGCTATGCAATCCTAGTGGCAAACACAAACTGCTCTGCCTCAACCAAAGAAATAGATCCGCTTCCTGTCCAGATATGCTGGAAGCTGTTTCAGTTTCCCTCATAGCCTCACACTGCCTCAGCAAATTAGTTATTATCAGGACATTCTGAAAGTTTAATGTTCATTTATATTGGTTCTGAGAACACACACCAATTTGCAATTTATCCATTTCTACTGAGCTAACGTCAGCATCTGCTCTAAGTTTTGCTATGCTACATTGTAGACTGACCTCCTTAAGAAATACAACAGCATTTGTAATCTGCAATGGCACATGGTACTAGAACTGGTAGCAAGACTGTTCTCTCCCTCATTCTACTGAGGCAAGTTTAAATCCAGCTTGAATCAGGAAAGTTCTAACACACATTTCAAAGCTTATATGGATTGAAAATCAAGTCATGGGTATAAACATTTCCCCTGGACAGATTTATGCAGTCTCCAAAAGACGATGCCATTTTCTTTCCCTGTGGAGTGTGAATAAAGACCACTGTGAAATAAGTTGTATGGTAAAAATATCAGTATCTTCCAATTTGGGGTGAAGTTGAGAGGGTCAAAGTGATAGCCAAATTATGAAGGAAATGACAAGTTACTTACCTGTAACTGTCCGCCTTCGGATGGTTCTGTGCATTCACCCCTATGGGCTCTGAGCTTACGACTGGGACTAGGGAGATATAAGAGCATTTAGGCAGGAGCCCCTCCCCCACTCCAGCATCCATCCTACAAGGGAGGAGGGTATTGCCCTTTCCCTCAGCATGAATGAGACTGCCCAGGTGGCCTCAGGACCAGGAGAGGATCAATAGGACAAACCTTGCGTTTGGCAAAGATGGTTCAGTACAGAGAGAAAAAAAGCAACTGCGTGGCGATTCTGAGGCCTCAGGTCATCCTGTGAATGTGCTCTGTGAAGTGACCCATATCCATGGATGGTGAGGTGGAGTCCCCGGCATCCACAGCTGCACCCGGAGAGAACAGCTCTATGGAGAGTGTCGTGTGGGTGTCAGATCTGGGATCCTCAATGTCCATCAGCGAGGAAGGGTTGGAGAGCACAAGGGCAGAAGAGCTGGGTCTCTGCAGTGCTGGAAGGCAGCTCTGGGAGTCCACTAAACTGTTCCAGTCACACGGGCGGATGCTGGGGCCTTGGAGGTGGAGTTGGTGGCCGGTGGTTCGGCAAAGAGCTCCCATTCTCTGCAGACATCCTGATGGTAGACGGAGGTTGTAGAATCATAAAAAGAACTGGGCATGTGTAGCCTCAAGAAGTCCAAGGGGAGATAGGACTCTTCAAGTACTAGAAAGGTTGCCCCATAGAGGAAGGACAGGTTCTCTTCTCAGTCATCCCAGACTCTAAGACATGGAATAATGGGCTCATGTTACAAGGATCTAGATTCTGGCTAGGTATCAGGAAAAATTTCCTGACTGTGAGGACAGTGTGACAGTGGAACCAATGAACTAGGGAGGTTTGGGGCTGTCCCACCCTGGAGGCATTCAAGAGACAGTTGGATTGCCACCTGAGAGGGATGCTTTCACTTGGAGCCCAGCACTCAGCAGGGACCAGATGGTCTTTTGGCCCCTTCCAATTCTACTATTCTACGATTCCATTCCAAGGCCACTCTAACAGCCTTGCTTCGGAGCTCAGCACACTTCCTAGCCTGTTTCACGAGGGCTTGACCATGAAGCTTTGGTCTGACTACATGCCCCTCAACCAGGCACAACAGTCAGAGGAAGTCCCCATCCACTGGCAGCAAATTTCCAGCCACGCTGCACAGAGTTGAGAAGGGAGCCTTCAATGCCATCATGGAGAAGACAGGGAAGGAAAGAAAAACATCGAAACATAGAAACAGAGCAAGTCAGAAGGGGCCTCCCTGCCATCCAGTCTGACCCCCGGCTCCAGCCGGCTCCGCTCATGACATGCCTACCCATGTGCATGTCCAGCCTATCCTTGAACACCCTCACCTGAAGGAAAAGGCCAAGGTAATGTTTGGAATAGCACAGGATCCTAAAGAGGACTTTTTTTAGTTGTTTTATGGTGGGGGGAAAGAAAGGGGGTGGTTTATGAAATGAAAATACATGAAGAAGAAACAGGTACATATAGAAAGATGCTAAAGCATTTTAAAAAGAAAAAGGGTTGTAAAGAAGAGAAGATACTCAAGTATTAAAGAGGAGAGAAAGAACTTCCTGAGGCACCAAAGGCAGTCAAAGAAGTGAGGGGAAAGCACAGGAACCCGTTCCTGCAAAGGATGCCAATGTGAGGGAAGAGTTCCAGCCAAAATGCTCTTAGGTACTAAATCTTCCCAGAAATGAGCTGCACACAAGCCCACAGCCCACATGTGTGATGCAGAGAGACCACGAAGGAGAAAAAGCAGTAGCAGAGCATAGTGGATTACCAAGGTAAATTCAATTGCCTGTTTTAATACCACTCAGCCTGTAGGTTCTCACTCTGGAAGGCTTGTATTTTTAATTGCGGCGTGGACACATCAGCCCTTTAACAGTAACTAAAAAGGGGACAGCCCAAACGACAGAAATGGAACACAGCCAATCCCTTTTCATAGGAGCCTCGTACTGTCGGAGAGGTTTGCCTGGACCAACTCACAGCTCTAGGATATTATATCTCTAAACATCTTATTCTATACCTAAACACAACAGACACCTACTCACCCCTGATGGAGATCCCTTACAGGGAAAACTATATGAGGTTATTATCCTAATCACCACCATCGTCACCCAGCAGCCTTACACACTCAGTCTGTAATTCTACTGACAGTTTTCACACTACGCGGCTGAATTCTCTTTGTATACCATCTACAACTGCCTGGGACCAGGCGTTTTAGTATCCATGCATTTTGCACTAGTGTGTCCCTTTGTGTTGTCTTGACTTGCTGTAACAATGAGTTGGGGTGAATGGAGTTCATTGGTGAAGTGGCAAATTAACAAAAGTAGAGCACTTAAGTTTAATTATTTTCCTTTACAATAGGGCCAGATAGCAAAAATACTAAACACTATTTTTTCAGTTTTAAATTTACAACTTCAGTGTTTATGGTTCCCTAAATAATTTCTTTATAAACTGGGCAAAAACTATACAGTATTTAAAAGTATTAACATAATGCAATAGATTTCTGAAAAGGACTGTGTACAAAAATGCCTCATGATCACTGTGATGTACCCTGATGCTTCGCTTCAATGAACCTCTGCACATTTCCTGCAAAACATATCATGAATCCTCTTGAACATCTGGACTTTTTCTTTCTTCAGCAGAATTCAAGTAGTGTAGGAGGAACTTGTATATGCCTTTTAAATCACAGGCCAGGCAAATACAGAGCCACTTATTGGGTGTTTCCCATGCTCCACTTCGGCTGAGCGCTCCAGTGGAACTATAAGTCCGTTGACGTTAGCTTTTTCATGCTCCGCCGTTGAGCTAAGCTTGAAGCGGCAACAGGCTCCAATACAGGCTGAAATGTCTTGTTATTCAGTGCAGAGTATGTGGCAGCCATAGCCCCCTGGAAAATAAAGATGTAAACGGCATCACCATCACCATCACCCCTAATCTTCCACAGGCACAGGAGGAGGGGACGGTACCAGTTTTACCTTTACTAGATGCGGAGCATCTTGCCTGTTGAGCTGATAATGTGGCAGCTGGTCCCTACAGGCGATCCATGAATGCTTAAGCACTTGTTCAGCAGTATATCGTTGATGAGGATCTACATGCAGCATATGAGACAGCAAATCCTGGATTAAAGTAGAATGAATACCAACATTAGAGCTCCATCCCAGGAAGGGAGGAGAGTGCAAAGGCCTGGAAGGCACTGTTACCTGCAACGGTCATGTTTTGAGTGGTCATCTGTGCATTCACACCTGTGGGCGCCACGCCTGTACGGAGCCTGTTCAGGAGGATTCCACCACTCAGATTTTACGCCATGGGAAAATGGAGTAAAAGGGCCATGCCCAGGCATAAGGGAGGGGTTCCCCGATCCTCAGTGCAAAGGATATGAGATGCCATCATGGCTCTGTGTCAGGGGAAGGCGCCCTTGGCCCTACGTGGACTCCAGTATGGACAATCAGCAGGCAATGCCAAAGAAGGGGAGGAGGATGGGTTTTGTGTGAATGCACAGATAGCTCCACAAAGAACAACAGTTACAGAGAAGCGGCCTTGCTTGCTTCTTCGTGGTCTCCGTGCATCACACATATGTGCAACTGGCAAGCTAACCTCATGGGAGCAGTGGTGTCAATAGCAAAGGACTGATAAAAGGCTGCTCTGCTGGAGGCACAGCCTGCCCTGGCTTGGATGTTAAGGCAGTCGTGCTTCAGGGAAGTTGACAGGTTTACTACTATTGGTGTAGAGTGCCATGAAGGCTGCAGTTGCTTGAGCAGATTAAGCCCCTCTCAGTCCTGAGGGCTGGTGGCTAGCTAGCCTGTAGCTTAAGGATTACACCCATGATGGTGGTCGAAGAACTGAGGATCTGGCAGGAGCCCTTCCCTCACCTGGGCATGGCCAGGGAGGGTTTCCGGCCAAGTGCATGCACAGAGCCCATCCATGTGAGACACGGAGGCCACGAAGAAGAAACAGCCTCTTCGGGCCTCATCAATCACACAACAGTTAAAGTGCTTCTTTTTCTCAGTCTCTTAACGCGGCAGGCATTCCAAAAAGTAGCAGCGAGCATTCCAGAGCAACTGGTCCTAGCCAGCTGGTCTGTTCTGCTTACGGAAGGAGCAGAGCCTCCTGCACTGGCAGAAGACAAACAGTGGTCTGTGAGGGAATGTGTGAACTGGGCTGCCTCCCTTCAGTGTTGTGAATAGATAAGTCCATATGAAGGGCTGCACTGTAGCCCAGCTGGGATTTTGTCTTTTGTCTACAGGGCACTACATACAGATTCTGGGAAAGCCACAGGGTCTATTCAGAATTTTTTTTTGTTCAAACAAGCCCTATATTGCTTTCCCCAGTGACCTAGCATGACTAATAGAATTGGAACATTACCTCTGCACCAAGCTGTATCCCTAAAAGTCTCAGCTGAGTTTCCTAAACCTACTGGAATTCATCCCGAAAGAGTAAGTTGTCAACTGCAGACTGTTAGAGATTAATTGATGGAGTGTGGTTTTGCATGTATTTTATCCTGTGTCTTTATTACAGCAGTGTATTACCTTTCACCCCCAAAGGTCACATTTGATGGTGGTTTCGGGGTTGCATACACACATGCCTTCCCAGGAATCCTCATGCAGATCTGCCTTTCCTTGCCCCCAGCAGTAGCTGCAAAGCAGCAATCAGGAAGAGGGGGAGGAGAGTGGAGAGCGGAAGCAGCAGCACCCAGAGTGTGGAAGCCACGAGGCACTCTAGGTAGTTGCCAGAATGGCGACTACCCTTCCAAGACACTCGGAAGAAAACACAGGCAGCAGAGGGAAGGAACTCTCCAGCAGCAATGGCCATTAACTACCACGATTAATTTCTGGTAGGAGCAATCATGGCGGTGATGGGGACGAGACCTTGGGGGGATCAGGTGGCCTGCAGGTTGAGCACCTCTGCTGTATGATGGGTTTCCATACCATTTAAAGTGCTATTGCTTCACTATCACTGCTGTCTACACATGGACTTCCAATTCCAGAGGTGGCATTGTATTAAAATTCCATGGTATCAAGTGCCGCAGGAAAACAATCAGATAATCCTGTGTGACCACAATGTATACACTATCTAGCTATATAAAATGAAATCTAAAGAGACAGACAGATCTGCAATAGGAGTTTTGCCAGAGCAGTTTCAGCCTGAGTTATTAAAATAATGAGCTGAATGCTTTTTACTAGTTCTGGTAAAAATCCTTTGGAAACTGATGTTGCAGTCATGTGTTCAGCAAGGCTTTCAAGGTAAAAGCAATTTTGTCAGGTTTACACAAAAGATGTTATTGTTTACTTGAATGTAATACAGATATCTTATTTTAAATTATCGACACCAAACATTATCCTCTTATGCTCACACGGGTGTTTGTATCTCAAAGTATAAGATTAAACTCATTTACACCTTTGCTGCATCTGAAACAGTGTCCCAGTTGCCTCCACTTAAAGAAAATTTTCCACTGCCAATCCGTAACAAGATTTCCTCGGGAGTATCGTTGGGACCATTGGCAAATGGTGTATACCTGGGTTTCAGAACAAAAGAAAATGACTACAATAAATGCTGGAGTTCTGCCACATTTATGTTATGTTCCTTCTTGGCATTCCTTTTCCTATATGTCAACCTCTTGATTGTTTAAAGAAAGCTTACAAGATTGCCTGTTATAAGGTCAATGTTCAAATTTCATACATGATTATGAAAATTGTGCTTTTGCTAGAAAACAACCAGCTTGTAAAGTTGTTTACATGCAACATTATGATTGCATGAGGATAAACAAAACAGAAATCTTACCCAGCCAACATTGTATAAAGGAGGACACCCAGGCTCCAGATATCACAAGCAGCATCATAGCCCTGTCTCATAAGAACCTACAAGCAGTAAGAAAACAGGTTATATTTCACTATCTGAAAGAATTATTAATGAAAAGCTCCAAATAAAAATGGCTTTAGAGGAAATCTAAACCCCCATATTACACGTAAATTTAAATACAGTAGCTGTCTTTCTGGAAAGATCCATTGTTAAAGGTAGCAATCCTCAATGGTGAACTGAAATCTGACTTTACTTCAGTGCATTTGCTTCAACACATTAAGACAATACTTTATTCTTAGTTGATTTCATCATGCCTCATTTACAGTCTTTAGTTTTAAGAACAGAAATAGTAAATAAGTAAACAGCTAAACACTCTAATATCTCTCTAAGATGTCTTGTAGCCAGTGCTTTTTTTGTTTAAAAAAAAAAAAGTGCTGGAACTCACGTCTTGGGGTCACATTTTTACACAATGGTCGCCGCTGGCAGTAAGCACTCAGCACGCGACCACACGACCGATCCCAAGCCAAGCAGCGTCCCAAGCCGAGCAGCGCCCTCACAATCAGCACTGACACACAAGCAGCCCGCAGGCACTATGCTAATGATTTTTGCTGCCGACCTGCTACGCCCAACAGGGCGATTCACAATCACTTGGAAAAATCAGTCAAAAAATGGTGCCGGAACGCTGTTCCAGTGCATTCTATGACAAAAAAAGTCCTGCTTATAGCTACTTTGAGATGACAGACTAGAATGTGCAAAAATTATTTTTTGTAATTTAATATAATTATTTTCAATTTATTGTTGTAAGCCACCCCGAGGCTTTGGCGAATAGGGCGGCATAAAAATGTTTTAATAAATAAATAAATATACATACCTCTGGTGCTACAAAGTTGGCAGTGTAGCAAGGGGTTAAGAGAAGCCCATTCTCCCCCCGAAGTTGTTTTGCAAATCCAAAATCACAGATCCTTATGGAGTCAGCATTATTAGAGTCATCCATATATAAAATATTGCTGGGTTTAAGATCTCTGTGTACTACCTGAAAAACACAGGGAACAACAATACGAGCATTTAGACTTAAGGCAACACCTGCTATAATTCACGGGCATTTAATTTGTAAAAACAGTGAGTACTTCAGACATATATGCATTATAACATGCATATGGGCATGGTATGGACAATTTAAGCTTTGAATTAATTTATAAAGTACAAAATAAGTATAATGAGCCATTAATTAAGCTTATTCAACTACAGTAAAAGGCTACTGCCCCTCAATTAGCCACCAAAGTGGTAGCAGCAGGGGGGAAAAAACCCACATAATTTTGCTTTTTAAACAGCAGAATGCAATTCTGCTCCCTGCCTGCCTTGTTTTAAAGGAAAATTGTATTTTTAATGCAAATTAAAGTTTAATGCCACCAAATCTGGTTTGGCAGCAGGAAGGAATTCAGCCCTGGGTTTCACAGCCGATTCCAACTCCTACTATACAGAGCAGTAGCTGAAGATATTCCAAGTTATTAGAACATGCACAACTTACCCCTTGACAATGAAGGTAGTCGACTGTTTTCGTGATGGTATACAATACAGCACTCGCTTCCCTTTCTGAGAAATATTTCTGTCTGAGAATACGATCCAGTAGCTCACCTCCCTTCATCAATTCCGTGACAAGGTAAATATATTTACCATCATCGTATACCTGCAGAAGTTTAATACAATTGAGTAAGGAGTATTCTATGCAATTTGTACAAGGTATATAAATCACAAGGTGTATCAATCTCTGTACACTGAACAGAGGCAGAAACTTTAACAGGATCCTGGTTATCTCAACACGCATTCAGCATTCCTGTATTCATTTTAACTAAATTTAACAATTGTCACTTACCTAAGGTAGGTGAAATCAAGGGATTGGCATTCACATGAGAGCAAAAATGCTAGAACTCTAAGACCTAAACCAGCCCTTCAAGTCAAGATGCTTATCTAGACTTTACATTTGCAAAGTTTTCCTGACATCATTTCAGCCACGGCAATGAGCTGAGAAACAGGGAGTGCAACTCAGCGTTTGCTTCCTGCTCCCCGTACAAGCCAAATAGTTCTTCTACTGGATCTAAATGCACATGTATCTTGCCTATGTGATTTTATTTCACTGAATGTACAAGTCCTTACAATTCTGCAAAGCCATGGCATCAATAACATACCATCAACTAATAATTTCATTTATTTATTCATAATATTTTTGGTCACCTTTCAGGGCTGAAGCTCCCCCAAACTGGAATATAACAATAAAGCTCAAAATAAAAACCCACGTTGGAATAGAAACAATGAAAACTGCAACAGGAGCAAACATTCCCCAAAACAATAAACATCAGGATTAAAGAAATGTGTAACACCACTGCAGCTACAACCCAGATGAGAACATGCTATTCCAAAGATGAAATTAAATTCCTTCCTTTTTAGCACTATTGCACAGATTTCTGAATGCATATGTGTTGGGCTAAGCAAAAATGTGCAGCTTTTGCCATGACAAGGACATATGGATAGATGAAGACAAAGCACAGCAAAGCTTTATGGCAGGCACTTTTTAATGATGCACATCAAAATTCCAAATATGTTCCTGATGGCTGTTAAAGAGATCATTTTTATGTATTCTAATGGAAAGAGGAGCATCAAATATTGTTTCACTGCATCCATTTTGCAGACCAGACAGTATTTCAGAAGCCAGCTAGAATACATACATCTTTTAAAGTAATAATGTTAGGGTGCTGTCCATAGCGCATCAAAATCTCAATTTCTTCAGAGGGATCTCTCTTACTTTTGTCAATTATCTAGAAAGATCAAACGGCATGAAAAAATTACACAATATTAAATTCAACATTTTAGTGAGATGCAATAATGAAATATGCCTCATCACTGAAGGCCAACCACAAACAAGGTCTTACAGCACTTCCAGAAAATGTTTAATGCTCAGGCTTTGGTGCATTTCAAGAGAAGGGTCTTCAGTACCTGTGGAGCAACCAGTGAATCTCTCTTGTCACAGCCCCTGTGGTACAGGGTTGGTGCACACGTGATACACAGCCAAAATTGTGCTTTCAGATGACCTCAAAAATGATAGCTCATGAACAAGACAGCAGTCTCTACTGGAAAAAACTACGTAGGATAAAAGAAACCAGGAACAGTTTCCTGAAATTAATTGCAAAGATGGTATGCTACCTGAGCCAGTGTGGTGTAGTGGTTAAGAGCATGGGACTGGGACTCAGAGGATCTGGATTCAAGTCCCCGCTCAGCCATGGAGCCAACTGGGTGACTCTGGGCCAGTCACAGACTCTCAGCCCAACCTACCTCACAGGGTTGTTGTTGTGGGGATAAGATGGAGGAGGAGATGTAAACTGCCTTGAGCCCTTAGGAAAAAGGCAGGATATAAATCGAAATCGAAAAAATATGTTTCCTGACCAGATGAAAATCTTTTACAGAATGACAAAGCAAGGCATTCCAGAGCCTAGATTTCAATTACTTAATTAAATGACTGCAGTGGGAAAATGCTACATACATACTCATATCTGCCCTTGACTGTTAGAAGAATATAATAGCTGGAAGTCATGAAACATATACTCAAAACTTTATTTATAGCTAAAGATAATAACATGACTGTCTGGAGAAAAAAAGCAAGGGGGCCACACAATGGTAGGCTTCTGATCAACATTCGGCTAATGTAAATCCTGTGTCAGAAGTCAATATATGAAAACATATTGTGGTCAACCTTAGTTATTTTCATTTACGCACAATTTTTTCCAATGTGTCTTTGGCTTATATCACACAAAACCTGAGTGAAATAACATCTTACAGGATTCCTTGCATATCCTAACTCCAACAGAATGTGATTTCCTGGGTCACAGCGTACTTCCTCTGGTGCATAAAGGTCAACACTAAATATGCAAGCATATATTCATTTACTGCAATGTTTACAGCTGAACAATCTTATGAGTACGAAGTTTTAGAATATTAAAATATTAAAATACCAGGCTTATGTTTTAAAATTTGTTAGCTCTTGAAATTTCAAAATAAACTAGGTAAGAAGAATAAAAACAGTAAATCAATCAAGTATTTTAAAGAAAGAGATCCAGGATCTATAAAGCTTTCACTGAAAGTGGTAAATTCCATATAGATTGCTGTAAATATGAACAATGCCTCTTGCAGGGAAGAGTTTCATGCATACCTTCACAGCAAATTCCATGTTTGAAGGCAAGTGGATGCAGCGCTTACATACAGAGTAGGAGCCAACACCAATGTCCTCCTTGAGTTCATAGGCATCTGTGAATAGCGCACTGTTCCCATGGAGTTGCTAAAAGCAAATGAAAAATGTCTTTAAGTTCCTTATCATTCATATCAAAAGTTGGCATACAGTCCAGTAAAAGATTCAACAGTTCCCAGTCGTATTATGCCAGATACACTTTATAAGTGTGAAGCAGATGTTTTACCACTGGAGGAAATTTGAGAACAAATAAATGGAGCAATAAGAATAAACCAGTCATAAGCTGAGGAGAAGACCACGACTTTATTCATTCTGCTATACTGTGGGTAGTTTTGACAGCTCAAAAAAGGATCACAGCGGACTGCTGACGCAAACATAAGCCAGCCGATGCTGTTTGTAGCAAAGCTCATATAGTCACTTAATCAAAGTCGGCTGGTGTGAAGAAGGGGGCATTCATGGCCAACATGAGGTACTGCATTTGTTTGGACATCCCATAGTTTAGCCCAACTTGCATTTGCAAGAATGAGCCACAGATTTCTCTTCTTCTTGCTGTATGGCTGGGAAGAGTTATTTAAAAGGTTTTGCTCAACTGTACATTGTCCAAACTGTTGTTAACATGAACTAGGGTTAGTTCCAAACAAGCCGGTATCCAAGCATACCTATTCAGACATGCTGGTTTGAAATCAACCGTAGTTGTGATTAGCCACAGTTTGTCAATCTGGATGACAGAGCAAAATATAGTTAGGTAAAAGTAGAAACCAACACCAACCGAACCATTCCAAAGCTTCCCATAGCCCGAGGCTCACTGCATACTAAACCATAACTTGCCAACAAGGCGATGGTATGATCCGGATGCACCACGAAAGCCCAGTTGCCCCGCCCCTCCCCAATCTATAAATCACTGCCTTCAGCTGGGCAATTGTGTGAAACAGGCTTTCAAAATCTGAGACCAAAAGCTTTCTATCACTGTGTCTATTCCTACAGCTGCCACAGCATCCGAATTTGCAAAACAGAAAAGCTGAGGCTTAGGATAAGTAAATAAGCAACAATTTCTAAACAAACGATTATTACAAATCTTAATATAAACTCGTTACAATGTATTGTTTCAGTAGTTGTGCGTATGCAGAATCTATGGAGGATAAAAAAGTGTTACCTGCACAATTGGCAAAATATTGTTGAGAGGGGAGATTTTGTGGTCTTCTATGGCAGTAGTTGCAACAAAGCTAAAGCCTTTGAACAGCTGGTGTGCATTAGCACTAGGTGGAACGCCTGGAGAATCTAAATGATAAATTCACATCACATTAAAATTGTCAATAATACATTCATAATGTAATACGTTTTATTCTCGACAGATGTCTAAAATAACCCCTTTCAGAAAGGGGTTAATAGCAAATATAATACCCAATTAATTTATATTTTCAAAACTTTGAAGGAATTTATGCAAAAACGAAACAAAAATACTGATGAGAAAGGTAGAAGGAAGAGAATAAGTTGCACATATTATTTATTTATTTATTAAGACATTTTTATGCCGCCCCATTCGCCGAAGCCTCGGGGCGGCTTACAACATTAAGTTAAAATACAAATACATTAAGTTAAAGATTAGTTATTTTCAAGATTAGTTTTTCAGACACTAAACTCAAAAAATTCACTTCAGAAGGGGTGGATAAATAACACTGGGTAGAAGGAAGATGTTTTTAAAAAACTAAAAACTAAGCAAGGATACCATCACTATAAGTTAATAAGGCGAATGCATCAAATAGGTGGCATGGTGATTAGTGTTGGACTGAGGACCCAGGGTAATCCAGGTTCCAGTCTCTGCCTGATTATGACGCTCACTGGGTCACTCTGGGCCAGTCACGGACTTTCAGCCTAACCTTTCTCACAGGGTTATTGTCGTCAGCATAAAATGGGGTACGGGAGGGTTATCTAAGCTCACTGGGATTGCTCACTAGAAGAAAAAAGTCAGGATATAAATTTAATCCAATAATGATTAAAATGAAGTCATGGTAGAAGTCATTCAATTTCTGTGCCTTTTTTAACAGAACATGATATAGGGTCGGGGAGAATGCCTTTTAGCAAGTATTACCTTTGGGTGTTTTTGCTGTGAATTCTGGATCAAAACAAAATGTATCCTCTGGTCTTCCAGAAGCAGGTTTAAATGGGGGCTGGATCTCTCTCCGGTACAGTTTCTGGAATCGGAATCACAAATAGTTAGTTTCACAGGTAACATGGGCTGGATCCCACTCTGTCCATCTGCTGACAGGTGGTGGTGGCGGTGCTGAAGGTGAGCTGCACATTCGCTCTTCCTACCCCCACTTCCCAGGCTGCTTCCCACACTATTCCAGAAGGTCCCAGAGCCTCTGGAGCGAATTAGAAAGAGGTAGAGGTAGCTGGGCGGGAAAGAGGAATACTCAAGGATTGCCTTTCTTGACCCTTCTGCTCACAGCAGCTTTACTCAATCCAAGATCCTTCTTTGATCAGATACAACTCCATATAGCAGAAATAGCAACTCTTCTACATTGAAGAATCAAAATGTAGATGCTTCTACATTGGTATGCCTCATTTTTCCTACCCCCAAGAATGTTCTCTATTTTGTTCTCTTTTTCCTACCCCCAAGAATGTTCTCTTTTTCCTACCCCCAAGAATGTTCTCTATTCATAAAAGGCAAAGTTAAACTAAAAAGGGAAAGGGAAACAAAAGAAAAATACGATCATTTTTCTTCCAGTCCAACTCTTGAACACATCTCTTTTATTTGTTTAAAAAACATGAGAAGAGTATGTGTTACTGCTCCAACCATTTGAAATATTTCCCCTGCTTTAAAAAAGCTGCTGTTTGAGGTTTGTTTCGTGTACTCACGTTCCAGTCAATAGTTGAAAAGAAGGGATGCCTCTTTATTTCTTCAACCCCATCAGGACCAGCTCCTGTGATTATAGAATATAGAAGGTACTTAATTCTCATAAATCAAACAGGGTGAAGAAACATCTCATTAATCCACAGTTTCTTAGGGTGACTTGTATGTGGTTAACACACCAAACTTAAGCCATTTGTGCAGGATTTGGACAACATGACAAGCCATTCTCAACCTAACAGTGCTTGACAAACCACTGTATATTGTGTTGTGTGCTGTGAACCAGGTCAACATCTCATATCCTAATGATACAACTGGATCGGTGGTTTCTTAGCTCACAAGTATGTAATAAAGCTATGCAAAGAGACACATTTTGGGCTACAGCCCATGAGATATGCCAAGACAGAAAATTAAAACAGAACTGCTACCATTGAGCAAGAACACCATATGCAACTCTCACAGAAATGCCATGTGGACCTTCATTTGTTAATGAAGAGGTGTTTGTGTGTGTGTGTGTGTGTATGCACACTATCTGACAAGCAGACTGTGAATGGTTCATAGCATGAGCTGCTTAAGGCCTAGGCAACTTTCCCAAAAGAGACACGGTAGAAGATAGCTCCTGATCAAAAGCCATGCTGACCGGATTAATGAGAACTGTACTCCGTAACATCTGGGGAGATACGGATCGGGGAGGCTGGTCTAAGGAATACTAACTTACCTAACCTATTTGAAGGATTCCTTTTAAACAACATTCTCAGAAGACTTTGCGCTTCGGGACTGAGGAACTGTGGCATTCCAAGTTTCGCTCTAGAAAAAGAAGAGAATTCATAATCAAAGTATACTCACTAAACAAGAAATCCAAGGATCATAGAAAAAGTAGAGTTTGTGAGCTGCTCATTGCACTGTTCAGTAGCATGGGAAATTAAGGATACAATCTTACACTGGCTTAGAAAAAAGTCACAACAGTCAGCATGGTTGGGAGTTGGAGGACTTTTTTATCCTGCCGAAAGTTGCACAGGATTCCACCATAAGAGATTTAATCCAAGTACTCTAGAAGTATACATTTAGTAAGAAGAGGACAGAGCTTTAACTATTAATGACTGACTTTATATTTCATTATATATTCAGCATTCCTTTTTATTTTAATTTATTCTGGTTGAACATAGAAACAAGTCCTCTCACACAATATTAGGAAATTTCCTCAATGTTGGCCCAATGAGGTAGTTTGTAGACAAGCACCACCTTAACACCTAATCTGCCAACACAATTCTAATTTCTCTATCAGTTTGATTTCCTATTTAGAAAAGCTGGTCGGTACTCCAAGAGCCTGAAAAACATTATTTTTTAAAAACAGAATAATACAAAAGTTCTCATTGTAATTTGTAAAACTATACACAGGCTTTTAAAATATTGTAGAAATCATTTTTTTCTATTTTGTCCTAATTTATAAGGAAATGAAATGCAATGTGACTCAACTTGCATTTTCTTATCTGAAAACATTTAAAAATAGATTCTCTAGATAAGAAAATAGAAAAAAATACTTACTTGAGTATCATATTCATTGTTTCATTGCGATCTTTACCTTGAAATGGTAGTGTACCAGTAAGCATTTCAAACTAGGAGAGAAACAAACCAACAGCAAACATTTAGAAAATTTTGAATTGTGAGAGTCAAGTTGGGAAATTAAAAATAAAGCAACCTTTTCTTCAATATAACATCTGTAAGCTACCCTATACTCCATTTATAGCAGAAAAGCGGTATTAATTAAACAACAATAAAGCTAAACAAAAGAGTTTAATATAAACAGTTTTGGTAAGTTTAGTTCTAGCGAAAAATATAAGAATGATAGTATGGTTAACACAGATAGATGTTTCTGAAAGTAATACTTCATACAAAAATCCCAAGGGCTAAACATTCATCTGACCATTAATTTTAATAGCCCATTGCAACCACAAAATCATAGATGTGGTATAATATGTCTATTGCACCCAATCATCTTGCTATACCAAAACTTATTCTGACTGTCACTAGCAAACCGTGGCTTGAAATATTACTTTATTTTCAGCTACTTAACTTTGGTTGATACACTTAAATTGGTTTTAACTCAGGAAAACTGGCAGGATCCATTGCTGCCCATGAGCCATTGGGATCTATTGCTTGCCCAATAATGCAGGGGAAGCCATTTTCTAAACCTGGACCGCAACAGGTCAGGAGAGCTCCCCAGAAGGAGTTCCAATGATCTGCCCTGTTCTGGAAAAACAGTTTTTTATTTCATTTCCAGGGTTGTTCTAGGAACCAACCCGCAGAACCTCAGTGAATTCTGCTGGAGTAAGTCAGCAGAAACGCAGGAACTGCCGTGGACACAGCCATATTACAAACATCACTCAAAGACAAACTACCGATAAAATTCAAAATGTGTCCTTCAACTGTAGCCTGAGCAACATAATACTGCACTAAATTAGTCTGCAGTCTAAAAACTTATAGGTAGCATTCATATTTCAATGGCAACATCAAGCTGCACTTCTGCTTCTAATGTAGAACAAGGCAGTGAAATAAACAGTACCATAAGAACACCAAACGACCACCAATCGGCACTCTGGTTATGGCCTCGTCTGTTTACAACTTCGGGGGCCATGTACTCTACAGTACCACAGAAAGAATAGGCTTTCTTCTCTTGATCAACAGATTCTTTGCTGAGGCCAAAGTCTAAAATAGTATTATAAAAATATACCAAGTAAAGAAACTTTGTGCAACAGAACAGTGAACATATCAGCATGTGAATCATTTTGGAGTCTATAGATGGAGTGGGGACCCTGTAACCCACCAAATGATGCTGGACTCCATATTCCTTCAGACAAGGCCAGAATCACCAGCATTTCGATGTTTATATTTTTATATTGTAATCATACAGTTTTAATTTTTTTGCAAACTGCCCAGAGATCTCTAGCTGTTGAGGGGTGTTGTATTAAAGCAATACATGGAGGGAGTCCCACAACGTCTGGAGGGCCGCAAGGTCCCCCTCCTCTGCTACAGCACACAGGGCGATAAGAATGGGACCCATTGCAGCCGATCAATGTATTCTCAAATTAAAGAGGAAAACTGAAGCTCTCTGGTGCAAGCCCTACTGATATTTATGCAAACCGCACAACAGAAAAGTATATTGCTTACTGCCATTTCCTATAGTACATGGACTTCAAACCCTTCAGTTTAATATTATATGACTGGCTGAATGACAGGTGATAGGTAAGCTATGACTATAATTTGTGGTTGCAATATTTTAGAACTCGTGTGAATACTTACAAACTCTTCCTTGTCCTGTCATAGTTCACACAACATAAACACCTGTTTTTAAGAAAAGCTTACAAAAGCATGTTGCCAGTTTGAATGTACTACGTGCATACAATAACTGCATCTCTTTTAATCTATATTATTTAATGAAGCACACACTGTGTGCACACAATGGATATAAAGCAAGAAGGGTTTAGTAAATTACATGAATAGCCCTCCTACCAAGGTATTAACTAAGTTTGCACAACAGGGGAGGGGTGAATAAACCATGACGGCTTGTTCACTATCTCCATGCATGAAGATCATGTGTCACTTGATCTACTTACCCAGATGCAATCTTGGGGGGTACCTAAACACTGTGAAAATGGATGGCTGCGGTGGTTAACAGAACACCCATGCGGCTGGTTTGTTAGTCAGACACTGTTGCCAGGTTTGGACATCATGGCAAGCATCTGGTGAGGGTATTTACATCAGGGGCATGTGGGGGTAGGTAACAAACCATCGTGGTTTATTAATCACATTTATCTTGTGTGAAGAGGGCCACCCTATACAGGGAAACCCTCATTAAATTCTTTTGGTTCATACATCATATGGAAAAGTCTTGATTTTATCTATCCTAGCAATTTACACCTATGATCCAAAAAAGCCACACAGAAACATTTTGATAAAGACAGACTGCTGTTTTGTTTAAAAAACTACTACTATTGAAGTTTTGATAGAAAAATAGGTAAGGGACATGGACTCCTGCCTAGTTGTCAATAAATATTTTGGGAATCATGGCTTTGATCACTGCATGGCTTCCACCAGTGTCCAGAAGCAGAGTACATAGAGTAAAAAAAGGGTACAAAGAGAAAGCTAGCTATTTTTAACTAAGGAACATTCCAGCATTTATCCATATCCTATTCTGTGGGCAGTGAATTTCAATATAAGTCATCTTTCCATTCTTAATTGTGGTGCAGCTTGTATGTCCGGTGTGTCTTGGCTTATTGAGAGCAAGACATGTGGTTCACACAGTTCAGTCACTCCTAATCGCTCAGTCAATGGTTTTTCTATCCTGATGCCCAAGCCAGACACTTCCGCTTGTCTCTCCCTAAACAACTTTGAGTCATAAGCCATGGCTTGCTCTATGCTCAAGGGCCTTGTTTGGGGAAGGAGAAAGTCCAAGTTCTCTGCTTGCATGTCATGATAAATAAATCACAGACAGAGGGTTTGTGGTTTGTGTAGCTGTTGCTGCTTGCAGCAAAACCAACTGGGCAGCGTGTACAAGAACACAGCTTTTAAACCATATGCCAGGGCTCTTTGGAATCTGGGCTTATAGTGGCATCTGAACATGCCAATGTGAAGGTATGATTTGAAATCTTAGTGCTAAAGGAGTGTTGCAGAAAGAACTGATGATGTAAAATAAGGTCAAAGCCAAGATGCAAGCATTGAAACAATTGTGGGCTACAAATTGCTACAATACTGTGTTATTGTTTTTAAGGTGTTTCTAATTCTGATCAAGAATCCACTTCTCAAAGACTTGGCATGTTTAGGTTATGGTGTTCAGTTTGCAGCCAGGTTAGAAATCTTTTCCTGCCTCGTGTTAAAGAATACAGCTACAAAGGTGTGAAATTGTACAGAAATTACTGCAACAGCTACACCAGGACTGTAGGAACTGCAATAAAGTTTCAAGAAATTTACTTTGATTACATTCCAGAAGGTTCCCCCCAAATTTTGACCTACATATATTCTCAGGACTGCAGAAACCACACTATCCATTTTTCATTGATGAATCTTAGAACTGCTTGTGTTAATCTTGAAACATTTAGAGAAGAAATAGACAATGATAGTCCCAGATGCAACTCTCGCTAAACTATATAAAAGCACAAAAACATTTCTAATTTAGCTCAGTCACTTATTCATTCACCAACTATTTGTAGATATGAGATAAAACCTGAACATTACTTTCGTCTTATACCAATACCCTATAAAGCCTGAATAAATATGTTAATCCAATGTGTATGATTGTGGTGGGGGAGCGTTAAGGGCACAATCCTATTGCATTCATGGTAGATGCTCATAAGCCTTTGAATCTTATTTTAATGTGCATTTTCATTTTTTCCTTTCTAGCCATATTAAAAATTATTTACTTAAAGTTTTTATAAACCATTCTATTAGCAAAATGCTGTCAGAAAGGTGCACAGCAAATTGCAGCATGCAAAACAGAGCAATGCACTAGCTGGTACCTCGAATGTGCAAAATTCAGATAATTGGTTGTGCAACACAACCAATACAGGATAGCCTTATACGGAATGTACCAGGTATCACATAGAATCATAGAACAGAAGAGTTGGAAGGCACCAAGGAAGTTATTGGCTCCAACCCCCAATTCAGTGCAGGACTCCAAGTTAAACAGTCCCTCTCAGATGGCTGTCCAACGGTCTCTTTGAGGGCCTCCACTGTGGGAGAGCCCAAGACCTCCCAAGGGAATTGCTCCCATTGTTATCCTGCTCTAACACAGTAACTTTTTCCTCATGTCCAACTGGAGTCTGGCTTCCAGTAAAATCAGCCCATTATTCCATGTCCTACACTCTGGAATGATCAAGGAGACCCTGCGTTCCCCTTTCAAGTACCTGAAGAGTGCTAGCATATCCCCCCACCTTGTTTCCTCTTCTTCAGACCAAATGTACCCAGTTCATTCAATCTCTCCTCTTAGGGCCCTGTTTCCAGTCCCCTGATCATCTCTGTTGCCCTCCTCTGAACTTTTCCCAGTCCGTCTGCATCTTTCTTGAAATGCAGTGCCAGAACTAAACACACAGTACTCAAGATGGGGCTTGACGAATGCTGAATAGGGGGAAACCAGTACCTCCCATGATTGGGAAGACATTCTTTTCTTAATGCAGCCCAAAATAGCATTTGCCCTTTTTGCAGCCACATCACATTACTGAGTTATATTCAGTTGTGCTCTACAACAATTCCACAATCCTTCTCACTTGTTGTATTGCTGAACCAGGTATCCCCCATTTTGTAATTGTGCACTAGGTTCCTTCTTCCTCAGTGCGGAACTTTGCATTTGTCCCTGCAGATTTTATTCTGTTGCTTTCAGCCCAGCACTCCAACCTATCAAGATCGCTTTGAATTTTGTTTCTATCCCAGCCAATTTTGTCATCTGCAAATTTGATCAGCATACCCTACTCATCATTCAAGTCATTAATAAAAATGTTGAAAAGCACTGGTCCCAGGCCTGAGCACTGCAGTATAGCACTTGTTACCTGCTCCCAGTCTGAGAAGATGCCATAACCATGGAATCAAGAACACTAAGACAAGAAGCAGAATCCAAAAAGACCACCTGAAATTTCCACAACATTCTGCTAAGTTTTCTCTCTCTTTTCCAAGCTGCAGCTTCCAAAATGCCTTGGTTAGTGCTAAACTGTGCACTTAAAATTATGAATACCTGCTGCTTTGGATGATCCCTTGCTGTGTATTAGCACAAAGCAGCAAAACGTTAGAGAGAAGAACGTTTAAATTCTGAGTTCGCATAACTTCAACTCATATAACCCATCCGACCGCATGGCCTTCATTCCTTGCAATGGTGCTTGTGTGGGACTGCAATATGAGCCTCATCAAAAAGCCAGGGAAGGGACTTCTACATCACACTCAGTCTTGCACGTAGATGGTTTGTTTTCTCCACAGAATAAGCAATTTTAAATCATGAGGATCAGAAGACTCTCATGTAAAAGCAAGCGTTTGACTATACTAAATGAGTCAAATGTAATGGATGCATCATCTGATGCAGGCAAACACAAAGCACAGAGAACCACAGCTATCCTCAAAAGGTATTTAGGGACTCCTCCCTGATGTCGTTTCTGTATTCTTTTGTGCTGAAGTATGCACTAAAGGGTTTATCTTCTTATAAAATCTCTTTCCCCTTGCCTGCCATTACAGGCAAGATACAAGCATTTCAGCTTTAATCTCCTTGACTACATTTCTTCAGATAAAGAAATGGGTTGTCATCAATAGTCTGATCTAGCCGGAAGCTAATTGGGGAAAGGGCCATTTCTAAAAACACAAACAACTCAGACTTTAAAACAAAAAGGCTGAATCCTTATTTCGGAGTGGGTCTCATGCTTTATGTGGGGCATATAGTTTTTAGTACTTTGAATAATTAATATAAAACAGGAGCTAATACATTCTGAAGCACTCCCATGGCCACTAGATTCCACCCAGACGATTATGGGATAATAGATCGGAGTCCTGCTCCAGTCTTGGATTGTGTTCCAAGGCTGGAGCCAGGCCTCTGAACTTGAGGCATCTGAGGTGGTACAGCTCCTTCTGAGCCAGTGCTGGGAGGGGAAGGCATTCCAGCAGTGGGGAAGGGAGGGGTGAGGTTCCACTGGGACACAAGGAATTCTAGAACTGCCTTCTCCCTCATCCTCACAAGCAGGGATAAAAGACACAAATAGCCAAAATCAGCCAGCTACGTCTTGTGCAGGACAAAAGCAGAGAGGCGATCCTTGCTTCCACATTCCTCTCACCCTTGACTGGATACCCATAATCCCTTCAAGTTTGAAGGATGACAGGCAACCAGGCTTAGTGGTGTCCGAAGAGGGCAACTTCAACACATCGCTTTTTGAGGACTGCTTCGAAACAATTTGAGCAATATGACTGTCTGGATGCTGGAAACCTAGAATACGTAATATCAAGTTACACTGCCTACAATTTCCAGGTGCATACTAATGTACTGCTGTTAACCTTTAAAACCCTAAGTGGCTTGAGACAACTTAGGACCCCCTTCAGCCAGACATACATTATGTCACCCAGACATACAATGTATGGACAGACATCCTGCCTGTCCATACATTAGGATCAGCTTTGGAGGTCCTGTTCATGTGCTTCCTGGTAAACTCAGTTTGGTCAGCAAACAAAAAGACAGGGGCCTTCGAAGCCTCGGCTGCACAAGCTCTTTCCATGCAGGATTTCAAACAGGACCTCATCACATATATTGTCCAGCTGAGTTTCCTTAATGTGGATTAGCTATATGACTCCTCCGCTTGCCTTATTGTTCTATATTGAAATCCTATAGCTACAGTCAATGCTGAGATGGTGCCTTAGTAATCTGGATTCATTTGATTTCTCTTATTTTAACCTATCCATCTTCTCTATTACGTGCACTGAGTTACAAAGGCTTGGTCCCAAAAAACAGCTTTATACTTTCCAAAAATAAAAAAAAACATACCAACATATGACAACTAGAAGGGATGTCTGCCAAACTGGGCCATCTGCTTACAGTTCTATTGCAGGCATTAATTCTGGCTAACCAGTCATTTTTGCATTTACCTGGACTCAAAGAACTAAACTGGAGCATGAACATCTGTTCCCATCATAATTTTGGAATGAGACACTGCAGAGAGGTAGATTTACATAACAATGACGTTGAAGGGATATTAATCGTATTTTATATTGTTGAGTTCTGAACCACCCAAGGATATAATACAAAAACCAAATTCTCCAAATCTGTTCAATTATATTTTGCATCCAAGGTGGCACTGTACTTGGAAGGTCCTATTCCTGTTTTAGCGATCCCCTCTTCCTGCTGAAGCCTGCACTGCAGGCCATACTGTTCCAGAAGGTCCCATAACCCTCAGCAGCAGGATAGGTCTGGAAGGCATGACGGCCAGCAGTGGAGAAATTCCATTCCATACATAGAAATGGTTTGCATCTGAGCCAGTGTGGTTTTTGTTTACTCCTTTGCTGCAGAATAGGGTTTGTTCATTGCACCCTGATCTAATAAAAACTTTGCCTAAATATTTGCCTAAAGAGTATGATGTATCGCAGAAAGTTAGCTAGCTGGGAAGGACACTGGAGGAAGACACAAGCGTCTGAAAGCCACTTCTGCCTAGATTCCAATACTTGTTGATTTGAAATTTAAGAACCATTAAAAGCCCAGACATGATAACATATATTAAAACACCAAGAACAACTTGACTCAATACAAAATATCTGCTATTATAACCGTGTACTCTATGAAAAGATTAGAAATAGCTATGCTAGTAAGTTCCACCTACCTGTTAACTTGATATGTCCTGCTTCATCAAGCAAAATGCTGAAAATTAAAATTCACATTCACCAATACACATAACAGGAATATTTATAAGACATTTTAATAAAGCAATTGAACAAACAAAAATGATGCCAATATTATGCATACATTATGTTAACAAATGTACAATAATCAAATTTTAAAATATGTATTGGAAAAATGAAATAGAGCTAAACTTTCATGTACTTTTATATTTATATTATGAGAAACACAAATACATCTATAAACATGAGTACTATAATAGTGGATAAAATACATTTTACTTTACTTTTCTGGCTTCAGGTCTCTGTATACAATTCCCAAGCTGTGCAGATGATCCAAAGCAAGGGCCAGTTCTGCGAGGTAGAATTTCACATCTTCCTCTGTAAACATAACCTAATAAGAACTATATAGATTTACATTCTGATATTGTTAAATTTCTGCACATGTTTACATTTTTAAGTTTTTAAAAAAATCTGTGATCAATTCGCAGTTGTGTGTATTCCCCATAATCCAGGATGATGGAAATTTAGGCTATGTATATGAAATGGGAAAAGACAGATCCTAGAAAGGGTCAAAGATAAATATGAATAGATGGACAGAAGAGAAGAGGAAAAATGTTAAATGCCCTGACAGATGAAGAGATAAGATGGAAAGTCATCCACAAGTGGCACCGCTTGCCCGAATTTATGGATCACAAAGGGTTTATTTATTTATTTATTTATTTAGAAGGCTTCTATGCCACCCCATTCGCCAAAGCCTCGGGGCCACTCACAATAATGAATAAATAAGGACAGAGTAAAACAATATAATATGAGTCGATCTGGCCCGAAAAATAAAATAAATAATATTAACAATTTAAATAGCGTTTGAATAAAAAGGTCTTCGCCTGGCACCAAAAAACAAATAACGATGGAACCAGGCGGACCTCTCTGGGGAGCGCATTCCATAAAATTCAAGTTAAAAGAAGTGTGGGACTTCAGTGAAAAAAGCTGGTCTAGAAATAATAAAAGCAACTTCTGGTATAGTGAATGTTTAGTTTAGAAGATGAATCGAGGAGGAAGTGGAAATGCCACTTCTAGTACATGCAGAGATCTGTAAGGCTGGTATCTCACTCTTTACAGACTGATCAAGCAGATTCATCTGCTTCTGGGCAGGATATGGGGCATGGGGGTGGGGGAAAGGACTGGTGAAGCTTCTCATCGCATGAAAACAGACTGCTTTGGAAGGGTTTAGGATGGGAGGGGGAGCAGATGCAAGACACAGTCCTTGAACCAGTAAAAAGACAACAGTTATAGAGTCTTTGCAGTTTCCATCATCTTGCCCTCAAGATGCAAGAGCCACCCTGCTGATGGAATCAGAAATGGTAATGAAAGGAGGGGACAGAAGAGGAGTTTTGAGTTTGGATTCAGCTCTTTGCATGGGCAGGTGCTTCTTCTTCAGCTTTGGTAGAAGACTTTAGAGTTCATAGTGTTCTGTTATCTGTTAAGAACCAACTTCTATGCTGGCTGGGGCTGATGGAAATTGTAGGCCAGAAAACCTGGAGAGTCAGAATTTGCCCACCTGGATCAAATTCTATCTAGCCCCCACCTGTATTTTCTAATTATTGTTAAAATCAAAAGAAAAAGAAGTACGTGTTGATATGTCAGGCTTCAGTAATTTCAGACACTCTATAGCTAATGATCCTCCTTACATTTCTCTTTATGAACAAAAACTCTTATTTGCCTGAACAGCTTTTTAAAAGCATCCTGAACATTTCCAGATTGAAGAATGGCTACAGGGTAAACAAAGACAAATAAAAGCCAAATAAATCCAGTGAACAGTTTTTAAAAGAGAAAGAAATCCATCTTACCAGCATGTGGAAAAGTGTATAATTTACTTATTAATCAACTGGACCTAACTACATTTTACAGATAAGTCCTACATTTGATTCTGACAGCTTCCCAAGACAGACAACAGCTAGAATACTATTCATTTACAGCATTTATATCTCAGCATTTCTCCAAGGAGCTCAAAGCAGCATATATGAATTTTTGCCTCCCACTCTCCAATTTAGATTCATAATAGCTCTGTGAAATAGGTTGTGCTGAGAGTGAGAGAGAGAAAGCACAAGCGAGCAACTGACTGATCAAAATCCCCCTGTGAAATTCATGACTTCATGGAAATAGTGTCAGGTTTAGGTTGGGAAGATCCAAGTTCAAATTCCTATTCCAAATATTATGCTAACAGAGGGGGCAGAATCACCATCTCTCAGCATGCCCCTGCCTATCACATCAGCTTTACCAGCCTGGTCTTCTCCAGACATTTTGGGGTTCAGTTCCCCTCTGCCCCAGTCTACATAGCCAATGGTCAGGGATGCTGGGAATTGTAGCCCAAAACATCTGGAGGCCACCAAGTTTGAGAAAAGCTGCTGTATGTGGATGTGAAAATACAGCTGGTGGAAAGTCCCTTGGAGAAAGTGCGTAATACCATAGCAATGAATTATCACTTTTGTTACAAATGCTCCTTTAACCAGTATTTTCAATAACTGTAAATACATACCTCTTTGGATAATCGTGTGAATACATCTCCTCCCCTGAGAAAATCCAATATTAAATATAGCTTCCCTTCAGTCTGAAAGGCTGATTTGAAAAATCAAAAAGTTTTCTATGAAATGGATAAAATACACAGAATGTATAACATTTTAAGTAATACATTTGATTAACATTTAAATTTTATGAATGCTCAAAATACTAATTACATCAAAGTAATCATATTTTCAGTGTTCCAGCTTCTTTCTCTCAATGATGTACACAGACTACACTTGAATTGGGATACATTCCCCTCCTCCCTGATATTGACCCATGTTGGCATCAGGATGACTGTCAGGATAAATAAGCTTCATAGCCTGCACTATTTCCCAAGCAGATCAAGTGTAGATTCTCAGACTGTGTACCAGGCATGCTAATATGCCACGAGAAACCCATCAGGAGAAAGCTCCCAAGACTGTATTTCTTCAAACGGGGAACAGGTAAACAATCCAATTCATTATCACAGAATACGGTACCAAGCACCAATTTGTCGTTGTTGTGTACCATCAAGTTGTCTCTGATTATGGCAACCCTATCAATGGAAACCCTCCACAATCTCCTACTCATGACATCCCTGCTTAGCTGTTTTAAATTCCACGTGGCGTCCTTGATGGAGTCAAGCCATCTCGTATCAGCTGCTCTTGTTCTTCTGCCTTTGTCTTTTCCCAGCTTGACTGTCTTTCTCCAGGCAAGCTTGCCTTCTCATGATGTGTCGAAAGTGTGGCAGCCTTGGTTTTGTCACTGTGTCCAAGTCTCAGTATTCTTTGAATTTCTTGGCCGCAAACTCTCTCTGAACTAGTGACTGTGCCAATGTATTATACAAAATCTTCCACACTTTCAATTTTTTCATGGTTGACAGTAAAGCTGTGCAAACTCTTCTACAGTCATGATGTTTGTTTTCTTAAGAGTCAGCTTCAGTCCTGCTTTTGCGCTTCCTTCTTTTGCCTTCATTAGTACTTAATTGCTGCTTTCTGTCAGCAAGATGGTATCATCTGCATATCTTAAGGTACTGATGTGCCTTCCTGCTCTGATCCTAATCCAGCTTTCCTTATGATATGTTCTGTGGGCAGCTTGAGCAGATAGGGCAATAAAATGCACCCTTGTCTGATCCCCTTTGCTGATAGTAAGAAACATCAGGCAAGGGTACATTATCAGCTTAGAGAGATTTAAAAGGGGATTTGTCTAATACATCATGAATTTGTTGATCAAAGGTCAGACATCATGATGGGTCTATACTGTCTCCAGAATTTTGCATACTTCTTAATATGAGCTACTGGAGAATAACCCATAAGAAAGGCTTATTGCCCTCATGTCCTGCTTGTAGACATACCACTGTGGAAAACAGGTTGCTAGACCAGTGTAATCCAACAGGACTTCTCTTGTGTTCTCCATGAGCCCAAAGTAGCTACTAAGTCAGCTGCCCACTGCTTGTCTATACTAGAAGTTACCCTGCCTGTGCCTGCCTACTATCAGCCTGGAAGCACCTCCTTTTAAACAATTCTTGAGGAAACACCAGGTGGATCCTATTAATTATTAGTTCTTATACCTGCACTCTGTAAGGTAAATCTTTTATGCAAGTTGTCTGCCTCCTATGAGGAGAAAATATTTTAAATGAATTGAGTTCCGTTAACTTTAACTAAAATGCCATGTTTCACCTGGTTGCTGGATTATATTCATATGTAAGTGATATTAATTTGAAGTGTTTTTCTCTGCAGTTTTGTTGTTAAATGCAATTCAAATTCTAGAAATGGGACAATGTCTTTGATAAACCATCACCAACCAGAACAAAAGTACTCACCATAGTGCAGTTTGACAATAAATGGATGATTTACTTCTACTAAAATATCTCTCTCCATCTTCGTACGAACTCTATCACGAACTGCAAAAAGAATTAATATATTTTATATACATGTATTTTCCACCAAGGAATCCCAAGTTAGCTTATACAATCCTCCTGTTCCTCTCCTTTTTATCCTCACAACAACCCTGCGAAGCAGACTAGCCAGTGACTGACTGAAATCACACTCTGAGCTTCATGGTCAAGTGAGGCCTAGAACCCGGATCTCCTGAGTATCAGTCCAGAACTCTAACTTCTACTGCAACTTGGCCCTCAAATAACACAAAGCATTTGCCTTTCAAACATTTTCCTTCCACAGCTATTTATCTTTAAGAATCCCAGTTTAGTTAAAACCTTATGCACCAAGAATTACAGGAGACATTTATATATATTTAGCAACTTTAATCAACCCTAACTCCCACATTTGTGTCTCTTGACTATTTACTGTTAGATACTCACTAAAGCTTGCCATAAGTGCCATCCATGAAAGACTTTCTCTACACACACATCTAACCATCTACAAGAACTTTCCACAGAGATCACACCGCAAGTGCCAGAAGGATTGTGTATGTTATCCTGCATGTGCATAAATTATTTTAATGTATATATTTTAAAATGTTATGATGATTTAACTTATTTGTTGTAAGCCGCCCCGAAGCTTCGGCGAATGGGGCGGCATAAAAATGTTTTAATAAATAAAAATAAATAAATAAAATATAAAGGCTTGTTCTTGGTATCGCCGTACATGCGATGAGTTGCCATGTCATCTCAACTCGCAAGACCAACCCCATCGTGAGTCCAGGGAAGTGACAAGCAAGCTGCTTGTACAAAGCAGCAGAACCCTCTTGCTGGGCTTGCCGGCCCACCAGTGCCAAGGTGGCGGCGTGGCCTGTCCATCACCGGCCCAGTGATCCGCCCTGCAAGCAGGAGTCCATTTTTCCACTGCCTCCACTATGACACAGGAAGGCTGCTGGAGGCTGACACTTCATGAATCTCATAAAGTGGAGAGTACCCACAAAAGTTTAGGTGAGAATAAATATGCCTGGCTTCTAGGAGCCACAAGAAACAAAACTTTGTTTAGGTACAATAAACTACATTTGGAGAAGCCATGTGCACAAGCTCATAATTTGAATCAAGAGCCATTTTGCACATAGGTTTTGTTAAACCTATTTTAAGAAAACTCCTTAAAAATCGTATCATTTAAAAGTAAAAGCTTAAAGTGTAATCTTGGACCACATTTTCTGTGTTTTGGATAAATCATAGATTAAATGCCACTGAAAGTGTGTAGAATCTTTTTCATTTTACTACTGCTTACACATTCGTGATTAAGCAAAGGGGCTTTTACATCACAAGAAGCATCTTTGTTTTGTTTGCGATGGGGGTGGCATAGAAATGTTTTAAATAAATAAATAAAATCGGTCAGGCAGGAATGATCCTCAGTACTTTTTATTCCAGAATATAGAAAACTGGTTAAAAACATGACAGAATCATGGAAGGAAGGAAGGATTAAACAGAAATCTGTCATCATGAGAGTCTATACTTTGAAACAATCAATTAGCCAAACTCTTCTGAACTATATCCTCAAATGATTGTAGCCAAACATGTTAATACTAAACATATTTACTTAGGATTAAGTACCTTGCTTTCAGTGGAACAGTCCTTGAGTTAGGATGACTACTGAACCAGAGTGTCCTTATTTTTCACAACTCAACAAATATCCCCATCAAATGAAAGTAATTCTTTTACTATGTTAAAAAGCACACCTTTCAAAGATGCTTTCTTCAGAACTTTCATAGCATACAGCTGTCCAGCATCGGGCCCAATGATTTTTCTCACAAGGAAAACCTAAGCAAACAAGAAAGTGTAGTATTTCAAAGGCATTATAGGATAAAAACTAACCCAGAACTTCTAATCTAAGTTTGTGCACGGAATGGTACAATAATACTTCTTGTAGAAAGGCAGGTTGCTTACCTGCAACTGTCATGCTTTGAGTCATCACAGAATCATAAAATATTATAGCTGAAAGGGGCAAGAGGGTCATTGCGGTCAAAGCCCCTGCTCAGAGGAGGACTCCAAGTTAAACCATCTCTGTGCAGTTGTATCTTGAATGCTCTAGTGTGGAACTGCCCACAACCTTCCTAGATAATTTGTTCCATTATCATACTGCTCCCACATTTAGGAAATTTTCCCTGAGACCTAGCTGCAATCTGGCTTTCTGTAACTTGAGCCCATTATTTTCAAAAGCAAAAATACAGTAACAATTTTTAAAGTGGCATTCTTGAGATGCGATTAAATGTTTCAACAGCGGCACAATAAATGAAGGCTTAAAGGGAACTTAAAGGTAACTTTCACAGCTTTTCAATTATGATGGGTATTTGTTTACGCTTATCAAATGCAACACTTTTTAACATCTTTCACCTTCCACCAAAAGTAAAATGTCCCAGTTTTCAACTAAAAACAAAACAAAACCCTCTTTCAAAAGAGTAAAGTTTCATGTGAGAGCAGGATGGGGCATACACTGAAGTTTATGTTCCCCAGCCAACAGAACTTCATTCTCCCACCCAGCACAGAAATACAAATCAAACATATGATCAACTGAATGAGTGGACTATTAGGATAATAAAGCACAACATTTAGAAGAAAAAGTGATGTTTTTTGGCTTACCTTTCCAAACGATCCCTGACCAAGGACTTTAAGCAATTCAAATTGTGCAGGGTCTGCTTTTTCACATCCTTCTTTCACATGATGGGTAATAGGTATCTCTTTTACATTTCCTTCATCCTATTCAAACAAAAACCAATAGTAACAACCACTGAAATTGTATCTTCAGTGTCTATTTGCATACATTTTTAAAGGGCAGTATTTGTAAAGGACGATTACTTAACAAGTGTACCACTAGCTGTTTTCTAATTAAAAGAAACAAATTATGTATTAATGTTTTTGAATTGTATGCATTCAAGCAGAAATACACCCCAACTGGCTACCACCCAAGACTCCCTGCAGCTTATGACCTCCTGCATTGCATCCTTATTATTTTAAGCCTGAATTCAGGACTGTCTTATTATTGTTCCTTACAAGCCACACAACACCTTTTATCGGCTGAAGAGCAGGGTAAAATACAAGCTTTAAGTATTAGCAAACGTGCTTACATGAACAAAAGCACGGCCCGTGGCTTCCAAGCCTTAAATGCACCTCTCCAGTGCATTCTAACCCACCATCCCACTAAACCCCCACCAGTTTCCTGGAGATTGTACTACTGTAGCCATTGCCACTTTCTGCCAATGACAGCTAAGCTGTACTCTATTCCCTCATTCAGAATCTCCGATACAAATCACTCTTTCCCCACTAGAGCTAGAAGAGCGAGCAAACTGTATCAGACCAGTGTGATGCAAGTGCCCATGTGCATGCATGTGTGAGTGAACACATGGCCCATTCTGGCCAGCTTCACATGCATCCCAAGGGCAAGAAGGCTGTGCACCTGTTTTCGTATGATATTCAAATATAGCCACTGAGTCAGAGCACTGGTCTATCTAGCTCATTTTTTTTTCTAAATTGACTACCAGTTGTTCTCAGACTTCAGGGAAAAGACTTTAATACTACCTAAAAAGCTAAAAGTTAAATGTATAGAAGCTATGTAAGCTACATCTTGCTTATTATGAGAATCCATTAGAATTAAGATAGAGCTAACAAATTGACGGCAAAAGAAGAAGGGGATGGCAGAGGACAAGGTGGCTGGATGGAGTCACTGGGGCAGTCAGTGAGAGCTTAGGTGGACTCCGAGGATGGTGGAGGACAGGAGAGCCTGGAGAAATGCTGTCCATGGGGTCACAATAGGTCAGACGCAACTTTGCAACTAACAACAACAACAAAGAGCTAACACTGATTATCTAAACACGGAGGATCTGAGAAGATTCATGAGGAGGTAAAAGTTTCAGTTCAGTTCCTTTCAGTATCAGATTTCTTGATAGTTTTGTAGGATACCCAAAGATGGTCAAGTCCATGCAGCGGTTAGCACACTGCTTAAGGGTTTGCAATGGGCATGTAGACCTCATGCTGAATTTCCTGCCTGGTGCAAAGGTTCCAGCCATCTAGATAGCCTTGTACATAGTGTAGGAGTGAAGTCAGAAATCAAGGTCCATGTTGGTACCAATGATGTGAGGAAGTTTAGTTCACCAATGATGTGAGGAAGTCCTGAAATCCAGGACCCCTCAGGCAGTTTTCTCTGAAATGCTACTGGTTCCACATAAAGATGGCAGAGCAGCTTTTAAACTGAATGCTGGAAGAAAGCTTACAGGAGCTGGGAAGCATCCAGTTTGAGTCCAATGAAGGGAAGGAAGTTCCAGGTTGCCCAAATGCAGGAGGGGGGTAAATAGGCAACAAGGTTATGGTGAGACATAACTGGTTGGAGAGAACTAAGTGTCAGACCAAAAGTTACGCACATTTGGAGAGGGACACTATGCTTAGGTATTTCTATGCAAATGCTAAAGTCTTAGGGCAAAAAAATGGGACAGCTGGAGTAGCTAGTGATGAAGGAGAAGCTAGATATAGTGGGCATTAGGGAAGCCTGGTGGAGCAGAGATAACCAAATGGATGTGGTCACCTCTGGATGTACGTTGTACAGGAAGGACAGGGAAAGGTATACTGAAAGGCTGCCCTCTATATTAAAGAGGGCAGAATGTCCAGCAGATGTGACAGCCCAAAGTGTGAAGACTGGTCCATGGAAGCACTTTGGGTGAGAATTCCTTGCTCCAGAGCTAACTTAGTCACAGGAGAATGCTATCATCCTCCAAGCCAGAATGCTCAGGGTTACCTTGAGATGAGAAATGAACTCAGGGAGACCTCCAACAAAGGCAGTATTGTAATAGCGGGTGACTCCAACTGGATGGACTCCAACACTTTGACTGGATAAATGTATGTTCCAGTTCTGACAGAGAAGATGAAAATCTCAATGTACTTCCATAACTATGTCCTAGAGCAGCTGCATGGCAAAATCACTCAAGCAACTGAGCACCCAAAGTGGTCCAAGCAACAACAGTTTCTTAACTAAATCCACTCTGGACATAACCAAACATGCAACAGGTTGCTAATAGGTTTAAGGAAAAAATTGCTTGAACTGAAAATACAAGAAAGCTGATTTTTGTCATGTCCTTGGTTATCATTTTCATTTTGTTGTGTATAAGGGCTGATGAATCCCTTTATCTTGTCTGCACTACAAAAAGCCATATTTTTCTTAGTTTTTGCAAAATACATTGATTTAAAGCAGAGAAGGTGAAAATCCTCAATTTTTAAAAGGGATTTCCCCCCTCTATCTGGGGAGGCAAAAAGGACCAATTGAGCTGGTTCTCATATGCTAATTGAGATCAATTGCTTCCTATTGCTCCCTGGCAGGGAGTAGGCCTGGTAACCACAGTGACTAATCCCCAGAAGAATTTTCTCTTTTGTTGATTTTGAGAACAAGAAGGCAGGACACATGGCAAAACTGGCTGCGGGTCCAAGTTTTATCTGTGGGGATAATCTGCATGTGCCTGAGGAATTCTGGGAAGTGAGAGGAGCTCACCATGAGCAGCAGAGAAGTCAGAGCTCAACTGACCATCTCAAAACAGCAGTAAATCAATAGTTCTACATTCTCCTCCTCCCTGTTGTAGAAAGGATTCTCCAGTAGCAGTGACCTATAAGGTACCTGCTATCCTTGCTTTCCTCCCTGACAATGGGTTACATACCTGTGTTACATGTAAGCTGGTTGCACTATTAGATGAAAAGGTGTGAGTGTTTCAGCAGCAACTCTCCACCCTCCAAGGAATATGGAAAAGGAAGGGCACAGGATGAAGAAAAACAATTGACCAAGAAAAAGAGGCAAGCAGTCATTGCAGAAGGCTCCTTGCTGCATGGGATTGAAGCCTAAGTATGTCATGATCACCCATAAACTTGCCAAGTATGCCGTCTTCCTGAAGCTCAGATTAGAAATGTGACTGAAAGATTGCCAAAACTCACAGACAACTATCTTTCTTCTAATCCACATAGAAACAAATGATTCCTCCAAAAGTAGCTACAAAGAAGTCACATTCAATTTTGAAGCTCCAGGACAGAAACTCAAAGACTTTCGGACTCAAAGAGTTTTCTCATCCATCCTTCCCAGTTCTTGGAAGAGGATTTTTAAAAAGGGGAAAAATTCTTCAAATGAACAACTGGCTATGAAGGTGGTGCTGATGCGAGAGATTTGGATTCTTGGACCACAGACTATGCTACCTGTAAGACGGACTGCTGGCAAAAGACTGGTTGCACTGCATAAGAGCTGGAAATAATGCCTTTGACTCCAGATTGAAGAATTTCAGCTGCAGGGGTTTAGATGGAATCCTACTGGGGAAGGAGACAAGGACTTGGAGACAACAGGAGCTTGGAGGCTTACTCACCATAACAGAGAGGTGAGCTGCAGTAGTGCCCCCAAGCAGTTTCTCCATTACATGGGAAAGAAGCCAGACCGTAACTAACGTGGGCCTCAGCATTTATACACTAACACCCAGAATATGGGAAACATTGCGATGAACTCTCAGTACATGAAGGCAAACACTGATAGGTATTGCTGAAGCTTAGTGGAACAACTCCTATGACTGGAATTCAACAAATAAAGGGTACAATTTGTTCTAAAAGAGCAGAAGAAATAGGAGAGGAGAAGGAGTTGTTTTATGTTAAAAAAATACTCATCCCTGCACAGAAATACAGGAAAATGAGCCTGGTAGACCAAAAAAACTAAAAAGGACGTGTATAGGAAGTAAGGCCAGACAATAAAAGAGACGTTTAGGTGACAGAGATGTGCAGGAATAACACTGGAAAGGATAACGCTTTTTTCAGGTATGTCCACAGTAAAAAGACAAATGGTAGTTCAGGGTCTCAGTGAGGAGTGCAAATTGCTAACAAATGACAAAGAAAAGGCTGAAGTGTTCAATTCACCTCCCTGGCAAAAATGAAATACCAAGTGAAGGACCAGGACCGAAGTTTCAGATTAACAAACAAACGAGTTTCTCTGAATGAGCTCAGATCTCCAGGGCCTGTTGAGCTGCATCACAGAGCGATAAAGGAACTGGCAGAAGAGCTCCCTGAGACACTGCACATTATCTTTGAGAAATCGTGGGGGAAGATGACCGGAGGAGGGCTAATGTTGTCCCTTCCATTCAACAAGGAGGATCCTGGGGACCACTGACCAGTTAGTCTGACATGAATCCCTGTGAAAATTCTGGAACAGAGTATAAAGAAGTTAGTAAGGCAATGGAGTAATTACTGAAAGCCGGCAGGGATGTATCAAGAACAAGTCTTGCAAGACTAATCCGATCTCATTTGTGATTGGGTGACCTCCCTGGAAGACTGTGGGAATACTGAGGACATAATATAATCTTGATTTCAGCAAAGCTGTTGACAAAGTGCCCCATGACACGCTAATCAGGAAACTAGCCAAACAAGAACTGGATGGAACGATTATCAGGTGGATCCACAGTTGGCTGCAAAATTGGACTCGGAGAATGTTTCTCAATGCCACCTTCTCAAATTGATGAGAGGTAAAAGGACTCAGTTCTGGGACCAGTGCTCTTCAAAGATTTAATGACTTGGATAAAGAGGTGCAATGAACGCTTGCAGATGACAGAAAATTGGGTGGATATCTAATACCCTGAAGAAACAAACAAAATTCAAGGTGATCTCCCACACTGGAGGCATTCAAGAAGGAATGACAGCCTTCTGCCAGGAAAGCTTTAAACTGAGCAGGGGCTTTGACTAGAAGGCCTTGTTGGCACCTTCTAACTTTACTATTCCATGATTCTGTGCTGGCTAGTTTTGAAGCCATAGATTCTGCATTCTTTTCAGCAGCCATAGGAACAGTTCTGGGCTTAACCAGGAGCCATTATGTAGAATCTAATATGAACAGGTACAACCTCTTCCCATATGGTGTGGATTTCTGGAAAATTCAAAAGCTTGCACATTCTTTATGGCCTCTGGTTTGGTTTAACATAGGTATTTGTCCTAAGATAGGTTTTAGACTTTCTCTTATGGCCAGCAGAGGTACTGTTGATTTTTGTGGAAATAAAAATTGCAATTCTGAAAGTTAGAAAGGTCACCAAAATACAGGAAACTTCTATGATCTCTTGTGAAAAAAATATTAAAGTAAAAAAAAGGTAAGACTTCTTTTAAAAGAAAAGAGAGCTATAAACAATAGTTTGTTATATTTTCTAAAATATATTGATCATAAGAGATCTCCTCATGAGAGGTGATCACATGGATAATAATAGTAGCCAGGCTAAATTATAGGTCTTATCAGACTAAAGGAGACAAAGAAAGAACACCCCATATTAATTTCCAATATATATATAGATAGATAGATAGATAGATAGATATAGATATATATAGATATATAGATACCTATCACTTATAAACAGATGTATAACTTTCTTTTAAAAGGTTACAATTTATTTCAATTTATATTAACCAAGAAAACATTTTTTTAAAAAACCATTGTTTATCTAGACCATCATGTAAGTAATTCCATCATGTTGTTCATTTCAGAACTAGGGAAGCTACACTATCTACGCACAATATAAGGAGAATAAACCTGTCCAGATCTATCACAAAAATATTTTGCTTCCTACCTTTCAACAACAGATACTAATCCACAAAGAAAGTTATCACTGCAACATCCATGAAACATTTCTGATTCATTAAGGGTTAAGTTGACTCCAGCTCTTTGTGATGTTGAGATCTACACAAGCTACAATTTTGCTACATTTGCAAAACTGTAATGTATCTATCTAGGATGTGTAAAAGAAAACCAGATTCAGTTTTAAAATACTCAGCTTCCTCCAACCCTGCACTGAAAAAATAAACATCACCAGGTCAAAATTCCTAGTGCATAAAAAGAGTCCCTCATTCTTCTTTTCACATAAGATTAGAAGGAATTTAAATACTATTCTTATGCATATTAAAATGCATCATTTTAAAGCAAAAAGCTGTTAAAATTCTAGCATTCATGTTGCTTAGAGACAGGGAAAAAAAAAAACAGACACAATATCAATCAGCCCTAATGAAATCCTTAATAGGCACAGATGCTGCACTTAGAAGTTCAACAATGTTGTTTTCACACTGCAATACATTTGAAGATTTTCTGAAAAAAAGATTTTAATAATTCATTTGTTGCAGTGTTCACCGCCCGACTTAAGTCGCTCTCCTCTGACATCACAACTAGTTTCTGCAGAACCTGACATAGGAGAAATTAAATAGGAATTAGGCAGGAGGGTGGGGAGTATTTCTCAGTGGAAATGACAGAATACTGTTCTCTAATGCAAATTTGAACACTTGCTGGCTGAGTCTCTCTAGACTCCACATTAACTCAATTATATTCCTCAGTATATTCACTAATTTGAAAAGCTACATCCAATGAATCCTAAATATTGAGTAGCAGCCCCATAACATAACAGAAGGGAACTGAACAGATCTCGGCAACTCAACAGCTGCTTAGCGTAGGCAGGAGCGACAGAGGCACTGCACTGTATCGGGATCAGAGAAAACAGGTGTCAGGCAACTGAAGCATGTTCCCAGTCCATTTTTTCCCTGCATATCCAGCCCTCCTCTTTAGCGGTTCTCTAGTCCTCCCCTTAATTTGTTTTGCTTCCTTGCTCTTGCTATCTTCAACTGCTTACAAGTTGCATCTGCTAATCCAAAATTCCTCTGCTTTCCTCATTCCAGTCCTTTAATTTTATGTCACAAATGGGAACATTCACAACTTTGAGGACCGGACTGGTATAGTCCTGATTTAAAGAACTGCTCTTACAGCTAACGTCAGTAGTAAGTGTTACAACAGGCGTGGGCAGCAGGTAGTTCAGGATCTACCAGTAGTTCTGCAGGTGATTTGGCAAGACTTCTCTTGGCAGGAGGTTTTGACTCCCAACTGTTTAACAATCACAGCTAAAGAATCCTCTCCACCCCCTAAATTAGCTAAAAAGGAAAATGTGGGGCAAAACAGGAATAAATTTCTGTGTGAAAGGACTCATGGGTCCAGTTTTGGTACTGATCACAAATGTGATCAAAGGCTCCCTGTTTCCTGCTCCTGGCAGAGAAAACCGAGTAACCAACGGTGGGGATTGGGCTCGCTCCTCCTGTAAAGCAGCCTTCAGACGTTGTTGACTCAGATTCTGAAGCAGAATTTACAGATGAAAGGTCAAGGCCTAAGGACCCAGCGCTAAGTCAGGGAGTCTGAAAACTAGACAATTTCGTGTGGTGAGAAGTGGGGCAGGGGTGAGATTTTCTTATTATACAAGCATCAATTTAAGAGGGAGAACAAATTAAGAAACATCAGAGAGATCAGCCCATAAGCAGCATGAGCCACCTGAAAGTGGACTCCGTCCTTTTTGGTTTGGATGAAAGGAAAGGTACCTGGTCTGGAATCAATTTCACCTCTCACATTTCCTTAATGGACAATATTCTATCTTAGCCGAGCTGACCATCAATTTATACAACTGATTGAGCACCTTCCCTGCCAAATCCAAATCTAATGAGTATGAGTACAGGCTGGTGTCCTCAGGATACTGATGGCTTCATATAGATGTTGTAGAAAATCCTATTTTCATGTATACTTTGGATGGTTTCATTATAGGGTTTACAAGGTAAGAAAAATCCAGAAGTGTTTTACTTCTGCTGCCTTCTGCACAGTATGAACCGAAGTTCAGAATCACTGTCATTGTCTGCGAAAGATCCTCTGCCAGTGTTGCCTTGGGGACAAGGTAACGGACGGGACTAGACAAGTGCGAGAAACCAGCCTCCTGGCAGCGTTGCTCTTGGCTTCTTTGACACTCTCAAACCACCTCAAACACCACATTAAGGTGCTATCCAAAAGGGACTATGAATGTCTACATCAGGAAATTCTCTCTGTCCTTCCAGTATATCAACATCTGAGAATTGTTTCCCCCTTTTCAAACTGGTTTTCAACTAGCCATCAGCTGCACTGCCTATCACAAGTCAACATGGACTCAAACTGAGAGCAGCTCCCTCTTTACCCCAACCTCCCAGGTCACAAATAGCTAACAAGGAACATTCGAGTAGTCAAGAGAGTTTAAAAATAAAACTAATTATGTCAACTAGTATTTCCGTAAGTGGTGAGAACTTATTTCCATGGGTGATTTCAACTATAATGAAAGTATTAAAATTCGAGGTTTAGCTACATCTTCCAAATTCATTCTAAGAGATCCTGCCAAGATACTGCTTCATCCTACCCCAAGCAAGCATCAATACTGACTGCAATGCATATACAGTTGAATTCATAACAATATTACTTGGTTTGCATGTATCAACATTGCAAAATGGAAAGTGTTGACTATTTCAAGCAAGCTTCCACATCACCTTTTGGGATGCCCAGACTAAGCTGCACAACGTGTAAGCTGGCACAAAATGAGGTTTTTCTTCCTTCGCTTTTTGAATTCTCACTTTGTCTTGCAAAATTTGTTAGCTCCGTTGCTAATGAAGTACATAATTCTCTCAAAGAGTCTTATCTACAACTACGTTTTGATGGAAATTCCGATCATGAAAAATTGTAAATATACTTACATTATAAGAATATGGTTCTTCCTCTTCCATAGGTTCATCTACCATTTTAATGCCATTCAGCTGCAAAGAGAAAGCAGTAATAAGGTTAACAATAAAATGCAACATACTTTCAATATAAGTTTATTGGCTTATCCAGTGACCCCAGTAAGAGATTTTGTTTTTGCAAACGGAAACTTGTAAGGCTAATGCTGATTTCCTGAAATGGTTCTCAAAATGATTAGTTGCTTGTATGCAATATCCAATTCGCAAGTAATGCGATCTGTGTCATGGAAGTGAGATGCAGCTGCATTTACAATAGTGAGATGAAGCATTTTCAAAATAGTTGGTGTACTAGCAGATTTGACATAACACAAGATGAGAACCATTTCCTCCAGATTACTTTAAATAGAAATGTAATAATAATAATAATAATAATAATAATAATAATAATAATAATAATAAAAATACAACTCCCTGTATTTCATCAATACTTCCCAATTGGCTAGAGAACCTAAGTTAAGTCTCTAATAACAGGAAGTTAGTTCACATGAAGGCATATATGGTATTTTGTGTAAATTTTCAGGCAACAAGAAAAAGCCTTTCCAGATTTAGATGGAACAGCTAACAGGCAGAACCACAGCTGACTACAGAATTGAGTTCAATGGCACCTTCTCAAACTGGGAAGAGGTAACTAGTGGAATAACGAGGGTTCAAGTCCTGGGCCCAGTGCTCTTCAACATTTTTATTAATGGTTTGGATGAAGAGGTGCAGGGAATGCTAATCAGATTTCCAGATGACACAGAACTGGGTGGGAAAGCTAGTACCCTGGAAGATAGAAATAAAATTCAAAGTGTTCTTGAAAGGTTGGAGCGCTGGGCTGAAAACAGCGAAATTCAATAGGGACAAATGCCAAGTTCTGAACCTAGAAAAAAGAAACCAGATTCATTGTTACAAGATGGGGAATATTTGGCTCAACAATAGTGCGAGAACGATGTTGAAATTGTTGTAGATCAGTTGAATATGAGTCAACAATGTGATGTAGGTGTAAAACGGGCAAATGCTATTTTGGGCTGCATTAACAGAAGTATCACTTCCAAATCCCAATGAAGTACCAGTTCTCATTTACTCAGCACTGGTTCGGCCTCATCTAGAGTACTGCATCCAGTTCTGAGCACCACAGTTTAAAAAAATGCAGGCAAGCTGGAAAGGGTTCAGAGGAGGGCAACAAAGACGATCAGGGGACTGGAAACAAAACCATATCATGAGAAAGTGAAAGAACTGGGCATGTTTAACCTTGAGAAGACTGAGGAGAGATATGATAGCACTCTCCAAGTACCTGAAATGTTGTCATTAAGAAGTGATCCTGACCGTCCTCTTTATCATCCCAGAGTGCAGGACATGGAAGAACGGGCTCAAGTTACAAGAAGCCACATTCTGGCTGAACATCAATTCCTGGCAGTTAGAACAGTATGACATTGGAACCAGTTACCTAGGGAGGTTGTGGGCTCTGCAACAAAAAAGGCATCCAAGATGGAACTGGGCAGCCATCTCTGAGGGATGGTTTAATAGGAGCCTTGCTCTGAGCAGGGGGTTAAACCCAACGGCCCTTTTGGCCCCTTCCAACTCTATTCTATGATTTCACCAAAGCATACTGAGAAAGGCCTACATGCTTCAGTGAATGATTTCTTTTATATCGCAATGTATTAAGGTTAAATGTTATTTCTCAACTTCCAAGTGTCAGCAACTGTTTAGGTTCTCAGACACAGAAATGTGTTCCACAAGGAACTTGCTATATCACAGCCAACTACTACTTATCTCGTGGTTGTGAGCTGCCCAGAGGTGTTGTGGCACAAGTGGGCAGCATACAAATGTTTTAAATAAATAACTATACTATATGGTCCCTTCTTCCTGTTAAAAATTATTGCCATCAATTTAAATTTCTACAACTGTAGTGGGAAAAATATTGATATCTGAAAAAACATATGCTAGAGTATGAATTAGGCTCACACATATTTTAAGAACCAAAAGTATACAACTATATTTTACATGTCTTCTCAACATACTTGTCACTGATCATAGGTTGTCCTTAAACCCTCCTTATGTATATATTCTAACTTTCTATATTCTAGCCAATTTTTGGAATTGTCTAGTCAGGTGACAAAACAAAATTGAATTAATAAACTAAACACTTGAAATGAATAGTAGAATTAATCAGTTTTGCTAAAAAAAAATCTAGCATTATCATTTCAGAACTTCCTAGATGATACCATTTCTTTCCTTGCCTAGCAATGGACTTTCCTTTGGCATTTTACATCAATTTTCAGAATATAATTTCATAATCTGTTGGGTAAATAACCATCTATTTAACACTATTGTATTAAATGTGTTAAACCTGTCATTGCGTGATTTAAACTACACAGGCTGGTGAAAACAGCCAACATTGCCAAGTCCACCTGCAATTACAATTCACCCAAAGAATCAATACCACATAGAATTTCTGGAATAGTTTCCATTCCCACCCTGGTTTCACCAAACCTGTTTTCAAAAACTTGACGACAGCATGGGGGCTGCCCTTTTCTGACAAACTAGTACCACAAAATTCCCTCCGCTCTGCAAATTTATTAGATGGATGTTTTGCTTTCTTCCAATTGTTCGGTGATCCTTAAAGGTGGGGGAAAGAAAATATGGAACTTGAGCAACAGCCCTTAAGAGCACCTTGCCCCTTCTGTGATTGCATCAAAAGCAGAAGACTTCTAAGGGCAACTGTATAATTTGCCTCCCATTAAGCAGATCTATTACTCAAGTTTCCATTTTTCCACTACTAAATTTATTCCATCCAATTTCCACACCAGACTGCATTTTCTTTGTCATTTTGAATGACAATTCAGACATATTTTCATACGCATGATTCAAAATAATGCATTCTGTAAACATTTTGTGCATTTTTTCAAATGCACGTTTTTACAAATCAGAGAGTTTGTACATTTCTAACTGTGCAGTTTAGTTGCCGTAGCATTTCAAATATCTGCTTTTCTGTACTTTTCAAAAGCTACTTTTCCCTTTATAGCAAGCTATGCTGCAAACTGAATTGAAAGTTCTCATCTATCCCTAGTCATTCTTTGGGCAGAGAAGCTACTACCTACCCTAACAATTCATGCAACCAATGGCATAGCTGTTTTCCTAGTATTAAAAATCTCCACCCGATTCATCTTTGCAAATCCAGCCACATCAACAAATTAACCAATTCAACTTCTACAGACGTTCGTTTGAACGTATTCAGTACATGCAAAGTCCTTTTTTCCCCTTCCAGAAGAGATGGCAAACTACTTTGGAAAACCTCCCCACTGTATAATACTTTATAACAAATCTGGAAAATACTGTAGCTATGATTGGATCCCAAATAAACTAAGACTTGGACAGGACTGCTTTATAGTATGCTCATTACTAAATCATTTGCACTATCCTGGTAGTTGGATTGCATGAATCAACCAGGTCAGACCAAATACCACTTTGTCACATCACCTCAAGCGTCAGAGTTCTCAGTGGCATTATTTTACTGATTTATCTGCAAGTCTTCCTCTTCAGTGAACAAGTAAACTATTAGTGTGGAGTGTTTGGCATGTCATGAATGGAGCCAGCTGGAGCCATGGGTCAGACTAGATGGCCCAGGAGGCCCCTTCTGACTTGCTGTTTCTATGTTTGCACCTTGTGGTGGGCCAGCAGGACAGGGGATTCTGCTGGTAGCATCACCAACCCTACAACCCCATCAGTCTCCCTACCTGAATTGATGGAGGGGATCGTAGATGTAATGCTGGAGCCCTCCCAGGCAGTTGGTTCTGGGGGACTTCAACATTCATGCTGCAGGCATCTCCTCTGGAGGGGCTCCGAATTTCATGGCCACAATGAAAACCATGGAACTGTCCCCACAAGTCATTGGCCCAGCACGTGTGACAGGGCATACTCTAGCCTTGGTCTTCTTGCTCAGATACGATGCCCTGAGCATGGAGGGTTTGGTGGTCAGACCGCTGCCTGCCGAGATTTAGACCATCAGCAGCTTTTTCCCTTCACAAGGGATGGAAGACCTATGAAGATGCTCTGCCCCAAGATGCCCAGAGTGCTGGTTCATTTGCAATTGCTGTGGCTTTATTGTCTCATGTGATTTTTGTTGTTTGAGTGTTTAACTTTTGTTAACCACCCGGAGTATCTCAGCCATTTTAACGGCATAAAAATGAAATTAAATAGTTTTCCAGAGGGCTTTGGGGGATTTTCTGGGTGACAATTCTGAGGGAAGTGCAGAGGGTGGCTACAGTTCCAAATTGTTGTTATATACTTAACCAGCTGACAACTTAGAAATAAAAACAAGTGTAAAAAAGCTAGTAATGCTTTCAGCCATATCTTGAATGTGGGGATCTGGGCACTAAGCAAAGGATGCCGTCTTCAATTTAACATAAGCGCGCGCGCACACACACACACACACAACCAGGACTGCTCTAGCAATGCAACAGAAAGAGCAAGGTTCAACTCATATTCATGACAATATTTGCTGTCTGCAAATCCAACAGCATTTTCCTAAGTAAATAGTCCTTTTATTTTGACGGAATAATTTCAGTCTGTATTATTCTGGCATTTGGTTTCTTCATGAATTCAAAGAGTGAAGCATTTTCAGATGTGTAAACTACTTTCAGAAAGATGATAAATTTAAAAGTTTGAAAGTTTGAGCCTAATTATCTACAAAACTAAGAAATATTAACAAAATCAAAAAAAATCTACACAAATTTTAAGCAATATTATAATTCTGTTTAAAAGGAATGACATGTATTTAGCATATCCAGATTATAATTGGAGAATATTATAATTGGATAAGTATACTAATACTATATCCAACATGAAACTGGCTTAAAAAAACTCAATTACTTTTGATACTGTCCAAGAAGGAATGCAGAAAAAAAATACAGTAAAACTTTTTGTGCAAAGGTAACAAGTATTTTGCAACTGTTGTTAATCCTGACAATTTCCAGAACTAACAGAGTTCAGATTATTTTCATTCATTCAGATTTCATTATTTTTCCTATATCATCTGC